GTAGTCGTAGTTGTTGGGCGGGGGGGTGTCAAATGACATTGGATGTAATGTGATCGTACACAAGTGCTTACTACACTCAGAGTATGCGGACACTAGAGCTTTCATTTTGATAAGCGTCGATAAAACGTTTAGATATCCAACTACATACATACATTACATGACATCAAAGACTAAAAAGAACAAGAAGAAGTGAAGTTTGTGTGTGCTTTTATATAATTACAGGTATGTATTGTGGTGTATAAAGTTACTCAATAACATATATCCACCGAAGATTAAACTGTATTAATCTACGTTTTTCTCCATCTACTCCCTCGATATTACCTCTTTCCTCTTCAACAGAGCCCAAAAAAAAAGTAGGTGAGAAGTGAGAACCCTATGCCTATCATCATCTGTCGGATAAAACTGAGTTGCTCCATGACAACACGAAGTCTCGAAAAACATTTGGTATATCTGCATATACACAAGGAACAAGCGATTCTCAGAATCATACAAAACTGCCCACAAGATTCCAATGTTTATATGAGGTTACCTAAATTGAAAATCTCAAAGCCTTTCAAGAGAAAAACAATTGCTTTCATGTCTTGTTATGTTAATAATGCATATCTGAGATAGTCTTATCTCTCCATACTATATTATTGGTGCAGAAAAGCTTCATTGTTTGGATGATAGATGAAGAGAGAATAATCCCTTTATATTACCTTGCACGACTTCCCTGGCGAGTGTGGGAATATCTACTTCGTCTTCAACCAATCTGTATACGTCCACAAGCTGAAAGAACAAAAGTCAATTTACTGCTTTAGAGTGTCAATGGAGATAATAAAATGCTACAGATATAACTCTGCTGATGTTTGATGTATGAACCTCTTCTACGTGAAGCTTCGAGTCCTCTGTTAGTGCAAGAATAAGTTTTCTCCGGATGCCTTCATCAAGGAGGAAAAGACGAGCTCCGTCCTTAATGGTATCTGTCAAGTCAAGCTTACTTTCCCTGAAAGTTTTATGAGTAAACGATGGATTAAGAATTCAGGCTTCACAGCGTAAACGAGTGAGAATTTAGGAGCAATGCTTATATAAAACTCAGTTACTTACACACGCTTTACTCGTAGATTAGGATTGCTACTCATTTTGGCGACGTTTTCCTTTGCAAGTGATAAAAGGTTTTCCAGCCTTTTCCATTGGAAAACACCATCTTTGAATAGAACCTGACACGAGGTAGTAACAAGAGCTTTGATTTCAGCTGATGCGGAAATAGGAATTCAAAATATCATATATGAAACAAAATCAGAATTATTAATTTAACCTGTATCAAGCGTTCTCGAAGAGCAGGATTTGGATCCGTTAAGAGCCGTTTTGCTACATATGGATAAGCAACCTAGAAAACAAGTTAGCGTTTAGTGTGGAAAGGGAACTATGAGTGAACAAATAGCTAGTATCTGCTCACTCAGGATTTCAGCTAATCTCAGATATCAAAAGAACCATCAAAATAATAAACGTGACTTCACCTCTAGAAATTTAAAATCAGGCTTCAGCGTGAAACATATACCCTCCTGCGTAAGCAGAGAACGAATAACAAGTGAGAACCGTTCCGGGATACGGATAGGAAAGTCGTACACAAGCTTGTTGAATTGGCCTGCAACAAAACGTGACACCATTTCTTCAATTGTGCAAGGGGTGCTCAGTAAAGAAAACAAACTTGTTTCAGGAAAGCAATATATCAAGTACCTGTAACACTTCTAAAATTGAAATCTGCAAGTCCTTTTCCCGCAGAATTCTGCCAGATGGCTTCTAAAGCTGGAACGATAGGAGAAACATCGGTATCCTTGGCCAAGAATCCGAGCCTAGTGAAATCATTTGCCATCTCCCCATAGTCCTCATTAACCGCATGAACAACAGCATCAATCAAAATTTGCTTGTTTTGCTGAAAAGAAAAAGAAAGGATTTTGTTTTAGACTGTGAATGGCAAAGTCTATATATAAATGTGAGATTACTATGGGATAGGCATACGCTAGTGTTACTAAGGTTGTTAGATACCTAAGAACCATTAACCTTATGTTACCTGACTCAGTACAGCAACATTACCAAAGTCCACATAAGCAATACGCCCATCCTGCATTGCAAAAATATTTCCAGGATGTGGATCTCCATGGAACAATCCAAATTCCAACAGCTGCCTTAGAGCAGCACTCACGCCAACAGTCAAGAATCCATTTAAGTCAATACCCGCATCCTTGATGGCCTGAGGACAATTAGTAAGAGTCAGTACTCAGAGTATACTGTATTTTGACTTTTTAGAAAGGTATAAAGGAATATATATTGGGTTGGCCCCTGTTTGAAAGTCATACCTGTGGGTCAGTGCACCGAATACCATCAATCCACTCCATTACCAAAACACGTGGACCACAAAGATTCTTGTATACTCGAGGAATTTTGACAGTGGGGTCATCTTTGAAGTTCTCCAGAAAGTCTTCAATGTTTCTGGCTTCCTGTAGGCAAGAACTTACGGTTAACCGGGATTAAAGAAAGACTCATTTTTCAGCTCATTAAAACTGAAGAACGCATAGAGTCAAATTGACAATTATATGAGATACCAAGGTGTAGTCAAGCTCCTCCAAAAGCTTTTCTCCAAATTCATCAACTATTAGCTCTGCATTGCAACCCAGTTTCTGTAGACTGAAGCCATTTAAGAATGAGGCGAGGGTTCGGAAAAGAAAGAGATCCCGGTAAATTATGGGCTCTATCTGTGGTCTTTGCACCTGTATATTAAAAACAAAAAAAAAAAAACACATAAAATATCAAACCCAACTTTAAAACAGTTTTAAGTTTGATAAGCCTGTATGAAATATCACAACTTTCAAAGAAGATAAACTCTATAGCTAGGGAAAAAGTTTCCATTTTGAAGAACCTTGATAGCAACATCCTCTCCAGTGGCACGTAGAGTAGCTCGATACACTTGGCCCAAGCTTGCAGCCGCTATGGTTTGTGAAGAAATTTTGCTAAATATAGCCTCAAGAGGTTGGCCTAACTCTTCCTCAATGATATTGAAAGCAACCTACAAAGGCCTTCACCACTTAGCTTCACCACACCATGACACATGATAACAAGAAAAATATCTGGCTCTACAAATTCCTCATAAAGATAAGAGATTTACCTCGTTAGGGAATGGAGGAACATCATCTTGGAGTATGCAGAGCTCGTTCATGTAGTCTTCACGGATGATATCAGGCCTATTTGCCAAAACCTACCCCATGTAATAGAATTTAGCCGAAAGTACGATTAAAGCTATTAAAAGTCCTCACAATAACATGGATCCACATACCTGGCCAGCTTTGATAAATGAAGGCCCCAAGTTGCACAACAGGTTCCTAAGCTGACGAGCACGGAAGGGGACAACTTCCTCATCCCTTCCAACTATAAAGTCATACACTAAGGTAGACCAATACAACCCAAGAGTCCAAACAATCTCCACACCCCTTGAAGCAAGAGAGACGACTGATCCTCTCGATTCCAGAACTTTACTCCTCACCTGATCAGCAAACACCAATAAATTCCAATTCAAACGATGAACACGAAAATTGTGAAAGCAACTACACAAAAAGGAGAAAGAATCTAGCTCGTCGATTGCTAGATTTTCAAATAATTCAGTGAAATTCTACCTGAAGACAAGAACATCTAAGACAATACCAATCAAATCCAAGAATACGAACAAGTCTAACCAGCTCAATAAGTGAATTCAACAAATTGCAACAGGATAAACAAATGAAATTGGCTGAAAATATTGGGTAAGTCGAACTAGAAACCAGCAGAAGCAATCATACAGTCTCCGGAGAATACTTTCGGAACGGAACGCAAACGCCTCTCTCGATATCCAGCTGCTCGAGCGCGGAGCTCGATTTCCCTACTCTATCCACCCCGCTCATCGCCGTTGTCATTATCGAAGCGTCAGTCGAATTCCGGCCGCCAACACCCGTCGCCGCCGCTCTAACGGAGAAATGAGAAGTCCGTACAGCCGAGAAAGTCCTGCTCCGCCGCAACTCCACGGCGTCGAGAGAAACTAGACTCCGCAGTAGAAGAGCGCGATTTGATCTCCGATGACGCTGATTTAAGGAGAAATGAGGGCAATTGCAGTGAATTGACTCCATGGATTAGCAGCGATGTAGGGAGGATGATCTGAAGAAGGCGAAGCAAATAGTGGATACGTTTCCGTTGGACGAAAACTAAAATAAACTTAGAATTTTGCCTGGAAATGGAATAAATCGACTGCCACTTATATTTTTTTATCACCTCACGTCTCAAAAAGGCCACAACAGATGTAATCTCTACCAAAACGACCCCAAACCTTTTTTTTTTTTTGTTTCTTTATACAAACAATCCCACAGTTTCTTTTTTTTTTGTGGCCAAGAAAGTTGCAACGTTTTGGCAAATAAGAATACATATTCGTATGGTGAAAAATGAACTGATTAAACCAAGGAATACTAAAAGTTGGCAAAGAAATTCCCAATATTCAAATATATATATATATATATATATATATATATATAATATTTTGACATCATATTTTAAAAATATCATTATGGGTTTAACGTTAGTAAAATTAATGAAAATATTAGGTGAATTACAATGACTTAGGTATTCTATTTTCTTAGTATACCATCCAATTACAACTACAAAACCAGTGGCGCCATTTCTTCCACTAGTATCAGCTCAAAAGGTACGATCTCAGGGATCTGTTGTCGTCCTGGTCCTAAAGAAAGTCAACAATTACTTTGCAGGATTTCGCTGCTTCCATTGATTCTTTCAGGTCTCGTACTTAGTGATGTGGAAGCAAACAAACGAAGCATATCGGTCCAATTATCAGGAATCGTGTCTGAATATCATTCAATAATATTTTCAGATAATAATTTGTTTATATGTTTTTGATTGTCTGCCTCTATATGTATTTTTCATTCATGACCCCAGAATTTAAGCAATAGTTTTTTTTGTTAGTTGTCAACGTAAAAAAACTTCAGTTTGTGTTTGGTATTTTCGTTTGTCATTCTGAAAATTATGAAGTAGAAGATATATCTATAGACGAGAGCTCAAACAGTTATTAGACACGTACCATGAGACTTCTACAATTATTATGGCTCAAAACACTAGCTAGCTTACTGGGCTTACAGGTGTTAGAAATAGTCATATATATGTATGATCATAGAAAATTAAGCTTTTTTGGCCAAAAGAAAAATTAAAAAATTAAAAAATTAAGCTTTTAATTTCGGTAAAATGATTCATATATAATCCAAATGAAATAAGAGGTTTTTGTCACAAAAAGAAAACACAAGTATTGTCTTATGTACGAAAATGCATGATCTATGTTCTGTCTGGACGAGTCAAGCATCCATGTATGTTAAATACTCCAACGAAATTATATACATTCAGAAAGTTTACAGTAGAATAAGTGACTAGAATTTTACGAAAGTGATGATGAGATGAAATAAATCAAAATGTCTTATGTTCTGTTTACTGACAATCTGACATCAAGCAATCCAGGATCTTTTAGGCCCATCATGGCAGAAATATATATATGATAATAATTTTCAAATAATGAAAATAGGTCCCGAATATAAAGACACATACGCTCTCTCACATTGACAAGAAGAAGAAGAAGAAGAAAAGAAAGGGATATGTGCGAATTGGTTCGATCGACATTGGAAAAGGAAGTGACAAAGTGGGGGTAATGGGCAATGGGGAATCGACACGTATGCCCACATTCCCCCTTGTTTTTTTATAAAAGTTTATTAAGGTGTCACGTGCGCCCATCATATGAATATGTGATCAAGTGTGAGATATGGGCAATATGGGCTCGACACGTGGAAAAGTTGGGTAAAAAAGTAGGGAAGGTCACGTGCTCCCCATCATTTTATCCGTTATATAGAAAAAAAAGTATTTTCTTTCCCAAACCTCTGGGGGCCCTTCTCTAATTGGACACCTTTTGACTTTCCTTCTTTAGACTTGTGTAATGTCTATTGCACAATCTCTTCTACTACTACTGCAAATATGAAATGGTTTTTAATTTTGTACATCTTTTATTCTATCATACGAGTATTGTGTAAACATACTTAACTAACTGCAAAAACTGTTATCCAATATTTGCTAACTGTTGTAGGTTGAACTATTAAAAACCCATTAATTAAGAATAGTGATATACAGTACATGTGGTATTTGATATCAAACCATTTCTTTTTCAAATATCAAATTTAGTCACTGATTACGTATTTTTCTCATTTTTATGAGTGCGTATATTTGATTTATTTACTTATATTCCATGTATAACATTATTTATATGCTAATCATCGACCATATCAAATACTGTATATTGTATCATATAATTAACATTCAGCTTTTAAATATTCTTTACCATTCCATCTTAATTAAGAGAACTTGATACATATATTACAGATACATGTTCGTATTAAAATCACAAAATGATACTAGTACAAGTTATTAAATTGGCTCTAGTTTGAACCCACCCCAAATCGACCAACACAAAAACACATTAATTGCATAGAAAGTAGAAAGTAGAATAAACCAAAACAACAACAACAACAACAACAGAAAAAACAAAGCAAGGGCCTGCATGTATTTTTAAGTAAATATATATATACATGGTAGATATATCAGCGATCGAGGATGATTAATTGGAGGATCAACTTTTGAACCATGTTTTTGATGATCGACTACTACATGTCCCGGACATGGAAGACGTTAGGGTTCTTGACGACGATATCATACATATGGATAGAGTTGAACTTGGAGAAGTCGCGAGGGAGAGAGATGAGATCGATCGATGTTCTCTTGTGGAACTGGAGCAGATGATCGGTGTTGTCTCCACCGTAGTACCTCTCCCACCCAAGATTCTTCAAGATCTTCTCAAGTGATCCGTACGAAGAGACAGCCTCGTTGGTCGGAAGATGGACGAGAATCTTCCTCCTCATCCTCTGCTGCTGGCTACCGCCGGAAGAGGAAGATTCCGACGAATCTCCGGCCGATTGGTTGTAAGGATTCTCCACCAGCCTCATCACTCCGTTCTTGTTGAACACCCACACACCAGACATTGTTGTTGATGTTGTTATATATTTATGCTTTACGAGCTATATAGCTATAGCGTTTTAGGGTTTTTTTTGGTTGGGGTGTGATTTCTCTTCAAAAATGTGGTTGTTAGTTTTGGTGAGGAGGAAACAGTATAGATGGGCTATATATACATGTTAGTGAAGGGGTGTATAGATGCTGACAAGTATATTATATGATTATATTATGTATTACATATATTAATATATATATATATATATATATATAATTGGAGAATTCTCGAAAAGGAAGAATCTTATCTATCAATCTTCCACCAATATATTTATCATTTTTGGACGCAAGGGAATAATAGCTCAAGTTCCATAAAATCAAAGCTATTGTTCTGATTCGAGAGTATATAGACGTAACATTATTTTGAATTATTTGAACTATACAACATTATTTGATCGTCATATTTGCGACGTAAGAAATGCCGTATCTTATAATATGGAAGTTATTTGAAAGAACATTAACCTTATTATATTTCACACACACACAGAACCAAAAAAAAAAAAAAAAAGTGTTAAACGTATTCCTACAGATGCAAGAAAACATGGGAAAATAGGTAATATGGGAAACTTATATAGTTTGAGGGTCATTGTTCGTTAAATATATTTATATCATGAGTGTGTGGTTAATTAAATTGTACATTTGCTTGAAGTCGAAGAATCTTAGGTAAGATTTCACAAAATTTAGATTCTTTGTTGTAAAATTAAAAATTAAATATTGTATGGTGAATTCGAATACGGCAAGACTTATTGTAGTTTGCATGAGCTCAACTTGACGTAACACATATAGCTTAGTTAAAGTCCAACTTCTTTTGTTTTGTTTTGTGATTAAATCCACCTTTTTATGACGTAATCACTCAACTTGATGTCTCCGTGTCTTTTGGTACTAGGAATGATCGGATCATTACAAGTTTCATATCATGTTTGTTTGATCAGTAAAAAGCCTAGAATTGTTTTTTATTATGAGGTACAGACTTAATTATATACAGTTTGATGATAGTAACATTTTAAGATCATAAGTTAACAAAATCTTCTTTTTTTTTTTTTGATTAGTAACGAAATGAAAAAAAATATAATTTTCATAGTTTTATATTTGTAAATTAATTGATATGTAGTATGTGAGAGTTCAAAACATATAAACAGCAATTCATTAATAAACCTTGCATACACCAAACAGTGTATGTTTTTTTTTATGTAAAGAATAAAAGGATTTATGTTTCTAGAATATGATTCAGTTATACTTTTAAGTTTTGGAAAAATATTTTTTTTATATAAAAAGCTGCCTTTAAAAGTGTTAATTTCAGTGATATATGTTATGATTATTCTTCTCTTTATATGTTTTTTGTTCGGTAGACACAGAAGGGCGAAGGTGTTACCGGTCACGTGGTGTCACGTGAATATTAATACTTACTGGTCCTTCTTGCTCTCCTTTTGTCGGAGACAACTCATTAGTTAAAGGCCTTTTTTTTTTAACCTTGCTTATGGCCTTTTTCTTATTCTTCTTAATATTTAACGATATAAAAGACAGCAATAGTTGATGTAATATATACATATATATATATATATATAACTTATACATTTCCCATATTTATTGTTATGTAAATTTTGAATATATTATTAACCATTATTTGTTTATTACCCATTAAAACCTATGAAAATCGCACGTTAAAATATGATAGAATTGATTTTTATGATAGTGTTAGATAAAAGAGTACTTGCTTGCATAATGGGTTAGAGTGATCGATGTACAATCAAACCAGCAAAAGGATGCAAATCTCTCTCGCAAACTAAAAATTAATTAGGAGAATAATTTAATTTCAATGTAAAATTCGAGGGCATGGAACATGTTATAATTTATATAACAATCAGAAAGACTTGATCATCAACTCTCCAAACTAGTTCTACTAGCCAGCCCTATATGTCATTTTCCGGATTCAGTTTTTTCCTCTTTCTTTAAAGATCCTTTGGTTCTCTCTTCGTTCGTTTACATATGCAATGTGATAATGACTAGTTTCAACATCATCAGATTCTGCTTCAACATCATCATCACAAAATTAGTTTCAATAATTATGTGATCATGCAATATTCTATATTAATAAAATTTGTGGAAAGATATATATATGTGGACAAAAAGTGGCGTATAAAGCAGAAAAATAAATGTGAAAAGAGAGAGAGAGAGAGATGATGAGGAAATAAGAGAAGTGGGAGCGAAGGCCCTCGTGGGAGATGATGCCAAGCCACACTCCCTCATTCTCTTCAACGTAACACTCAACACACAACACAACACCCCCCCAAAGGTATTATTAGTCTTTTTGTTCTTCTTTTTACGTACCGTTTTAGGTCCATCCTAAGTTGACATCTATATATAAAATATACTGTTATTTTTACCGCATGTTTTACTCGTGCTTTCTTTCTTTTTTACTTCGAATACTTGAAGATATATGAATTTTTAGGAAACTATATGGAGAGTTCTTATTGTTGTTATATATATATATGTATGCAATAAATATTTCGTTAATCCAAACTATTACTTTGCCACCGATTTTAACTAATTGTATTGTACTGGAAAAAGAGTATTTGTGAAAGCGCATTACAGATTTCAGCAATCTTTGGTTATAGCTTAATTCCATGTTTTAAAATTTTTGTTTGTAATATATTAAAAGGTCACATCACATCATAACCAAAAATAGAACAAGTTAACTTTTTTTTTTTTCCGGTATGGATAAATCTCAAAACCCATATCCATGCCCCATTCCACACAAAAAAAATCTTGTTCATGGTCGTTACAAATATGGCACCAACAAGGACACAACCATATTGATGATATTAATGGTTCCTCATGCATCTTCTGTCAGCACCATTTGTTCTTGTAGTGTCAGCATCATAATTAAAAGACAATATTCACAAAACCAAAATAGAAATAGTTAATATAATATTGTTTGTTTCTAGAGGCTTCGGAGATACACTTTTTTCAAAGATTATTCTCATTGAACCATTCATTTATATGTATGTTCACGTTATCTAACCCAACTTGATTCAATCATAAAGTTTCCATCGCACTTGTTTTTATGTCTGTGTGTGCTGATGGTTTTTACCATCGCTAGACGCCAGTGGCTCCTGTGCGTGACAACAATGTAATAGGTAACATTTGCTCAGCCTTTTCTTGAAAAAGTTTGTTGATTGGTTTTGTTTACGACCTTATAAATTCTCTGCTTTTTTTCTTTCACTCTAAACATATTATCTTCTTAGAGTTGTTTTCATGTAACCCTTCAGAACATGAATAAAGTTTTGTAAAATAGATTGTTAAATCTTCTTGATATATGTATAATCAGTACTTCAAAATCTGAAGTATTTAAGTCTTTTTAAGAATGTTAAAAGTTACTTTTTTTTCATATTCTTCTAAATAAAGGTTTAGTGGTATCCTTAATCACGAAAGATAGATATGCTCGATCGAGTAGCCAATGAAGGATCGACAGGTGCCAAGTCACCCTTATCTTCACCACGTAGAATAATTCTGTCAACAGAGATCGTTCTAATTTTAGATCCCTAAACATTACTAGTATTGGTATTTTAATTTCTAAATTTTTTTTTGTTAGGTTATAACGAATTTGATTCGAAACTAGTGTGAATCATTTATACAGGATCTAATCTCCTTTTATTCATAATTTAATTTATAAATTACATTTGTGTGTTTGTTTCGTACTGTTTTTTTAGCACTAATTAATTAACAACCATTATTAAGTAGTGGAAAGCATATACAATGTAGCCTTTTTTTTTTTTTGTTCAACCTCGTATCACATCTTAAAGTTAGAGGACATCATTTTCATCACTTTGTTTTTTATTTATTTATTTAAAGTATTTTCAGTCTATAATATTACAGTTTATCGTTATCGAGTTTAAGAAAGTTTCAGGTGTAGGTTTATAAAAATAGATTTATTTTAAGTGTGGAGGACGATATATAATTAGTAAATATGAGCCCGAACTTCTTAATTAATTAGTAAAAATGATTAAACATATATATATATATATATATCTCAATTATGAGGTGATGTATTCGTAGGTTAACAAAAAGAATATGAACTCCAAGTTGCCAATTCGAATAATTGGTATTTGGTACAAAGCTGAATACTTTAAAATATTCGAGTACGTCTTTCTTCTATATAATTATAACATAAATATGGACAAATTAAATCAAAACGTGTTATACAATGTTAGATAGAAAAGTAAAAATAATGGAATAGATTCTCAAATTTTGGATTGATAATTGATATGATACCAAGCAGCTTATTTAATTTATAAACGCGGTATTGGAAAACAAATGTGACAATCTCTTCGACGTAATCCATCGTTTACTCTTAGAAGGCAATAATTATCTAAGTACTATAGATAAACATGACTTAATCTTGATGTCCAAAGTATATATTCATATTAAAATTGTGGATATTAAGTGGATGAGTTGTAATCTTGAAGTAATGACAAAATGTTAACCATCCCACACACACAAAGTGAAAATGTAGTTTTAGCTTATCCTTTTTCTATATCAATGGTTGATATTTATTTTAGAAATGGATATGATGATGATGATTATAACTTCTTTGGATTATATACATGCGGCATTAACTGCGAAAATCCTCTTTGACGTAATTATTTAATTAACGTTTTGAAAACGAAATATATATTTATATATTGACGTTTATTTATTATTGTCCTTTTCATGGGGTTTTAGTTTTAGATATTAAATTCTATATTTATTTTTTACCTTTCATTCAAACTATTTTATGTTTTTTAGAATGATCAATTGTTCGTGGAGTTTTTCTTATTTATAATATATATATATATATATAATTTACTTTAGTTCAAGGCAGTTCTTAGTTATGGTGCATGAATATTTATGTCCAACGTATCCTAAAGAATTTGGGGATATTAAGTGGATGAGTTGTAATTTTCTAGCAGAAAATTAAAATACTGTTTAACTATCCATGTCAAAAGTCGTAAGGTTGTATTTTCCATCAAATGTTGATATAATATAATATTATATAAAATCATTAATATAAAACTTCTTCGGATTGTAAACGAAACTACTAGTTTATCATAATGGTAAATTCATCTAATATAATTGCAAGTTACATCAATTTTAATTTAGTCTCATTTAAAGAAAAGAAAACCATTCTTCAATATTAAACAATTAACATAAAGCACTTGTAAAAGCCTAAACTCTGTAAACGAAATTAGCCGTCAAATAATTAAATTCTCAATGGCCAAGTCTTAGTTATTATTACACTCTAAAAATAGAAGAGTAGACGTAGCTAACCAAAAAGACTAGTTCAGTTTAGTACCAATAACAGAGAAAATCTCTCCTTTTATAAACCACCACTTGTCCTGCATAAATACCAAACGAGTGAAGCCATTGAGGTTTAGCAAAGGAGAACACACAAGATGGGTCTCAATGCCTCCCTTTCTCTCTTCTCCCTCACCATCTTACTCGTCTTCTCTAAGGTCGTCACAGCGGATAACATCACCCTGGCCTTTCAGAAATACTCCAATTTCAGCACCATGAGCAGCCTCTTCACCCAGACCAAGCTCACTGTACCCATCAGCAAATACCAAACCATAACCGTGCTCGCTGTTAGCAACGACGCTATCAGCTCCATCACTAACAGATCCGACGTCGAGCTCAAGAACATCCTCATGACTCATGTTATTCTTGACTACTACGATGAGCTCAAGCTTCAGGGGATGAGGGAGAAGAGCATAATGCTTACTACCTTATACCAGACCACCGGTTTGGGAGAAGAGATGAATGGTTTCCTGAACGTTACCAAATTGAACGGAAGGGTATACTTTGGATCAGCAGTGAAGAACTCACCTCTAAACGCTGAGTATGTCTCAACTGTGTACCACAATCCATATAACCTCTCTATAATCCAGATTAGCATGCCAATCGTGGCTCCTGGACTCAGCCTTGCAGTTAACCCACCTCCACCACCACCCGTTCCTATAGTTCCATCTCCATCTCCCATGGATGCTTCAATGGTTCCTGCTCCATCTCCCATGAATGCTACAACAACAGCTCCAGGACCAGCTGATGCTGACAATTCCTCAGATACTGTTGTCCCAAAAACTACACCTACAGCAGACACACCGGAGGCTGATTCTCCTGCTCCTGCTCCAAGCGCAGATAATGAGAAGATTGAAGCTGCTGATAAGGCTGGACCATCTTCTTCTGCTTTTAAGTCTGGTTCCAGGTTTGATGTAATTCTCCTGCTAGCATTTTTCTCTAGCTTTGCTGGGTTCTAAGATGGCTGACGTGGGTTGAAGACAATAATGGTAGGTGAGGTTCAAAACAATTTTTCCGTAGCATTTAAAACAAGAAAAGAGACACGACCATTGGAAGTGAAAACCTAAGTGTAATGAACTTTCTACTTTTCATGCATTGTAGTTATCAGCCATTTTGAATGCAAATGTGATGTTTGCTCTATTGATTTTGTAACACAGTTCTAAGTGTTTTAGAAGTTAGAACATACTTCAACCAATGCAAAGAATGTTAAAACCATGCGTGACCCCAACAACAAAATAACATTTCTGCATCAGTTTACCTTAAGAAACGAGATGAATCAAACTAGCCTTACAAATACGAGTTAATCCCAGAAACTGTCAACCAAACCAATCAGGCAATGCAAAACAATGAGACTGCACTTACAATGCTCATAGCAAAACAACAGGAAGTGAACCTAATAAATCTGACATTGCTCTAGAAAGTCCCTAATTGAATTAACTGAGGCTTAGCAGAAACAAAGAACATATTCAGCACAAGAAGAGCCTATTTGCAGTCTGTAGTGGTCTCTCATTTGATCTTCTTTATGATGTCCTCGATGACTTCTTCCATATCAAGTGCCTTCATTGGCGCAAATGGACGTTTCATCTCCTACATAATGAGATAAACATAAGGGTCCTATTAAATGTAAAGGACGAAAAGCCAACATGCACCTATTTCGTAAATGTCATTCCTGATGACTTAATACATTATAAATAGTATCAATTTCGCAATGAATAAGGATCTCGAGGTGATTTTCATATCATGTGCATATAAAGCAAGTGGTGTTATGAAGTTAGTACTAACAATAAACCTTAGTCAAACAGAACAAAGTTTACACAGAAAAGAAACAAATTGAAATATATTTTCAAGGTATTAGAAGATATGTTTTACCAAAAGACTGATAAATGTTTCGCCACCTTCCTCCCGGATCTCAAAGCAACCCCGCCTTGGCTATTCGAGCACATCAAAAGAAAAAATTAGCGATGGAGAAGAACATCTAATCGAGCATAATGTGGCAAACATGATCTTACATAATCGTCAATAGCGAGCATTCATGACAACACATTCATCTGAAGTGAAAAAATTACCTTCTCAGGATTCAGAGTCACCATGACACCCGGAACAGCTCCCTCCAGACCTTCCTTCACCTGAATAGCCCTTGTCTTGAACGCATTGCATTGTTTACTTAAACAACATAACCAAAACAAAACCGCTGTGAGATAAGAAGACATAGGTAGCAGACGCAAATCCTAGTTCTCTCCATTTGCAGAAGGAACATGTGTCCCAATAAGACATTACAGTTAAGTTCAAACAAGACAAGAATAGAACATAAACTAGATAGTAAGCTCCTCTTCATAAAATGTGAGAAAACACAAATGCAAGCAAAACAAAAAGGATGAATGAGCGTGTCACCTTCATTTGCCCCAGCTTACTACACGAAACCACTAATCAGTAATCACTAATAAGAAAACTTATGTAGAATTCAAGAAGAAACCCTAATAATGTGAAAACAGAAAACCCTAGCTACTACACGGACACAAAAGTCTCAGCAGACTGTTCAATAATATCAAAAGTTTTAACCTTTTAGCTTCAATTTCGAGGCGTATACCTAAATTTTCACTCTAACGAGTCCCTCCATTTTCTCAATAAATCTAAAGACAACACAAAAAAATCGAAACTTTTATGCATAATTTACCACTTACCAGTACTCTATGACAATCTTCGCTTTCGTCGGGTCCTCAACCTCTGGCTCTGCCTCTTCCTCTTCCTCTTCTTCCTTCTCAACTTCCCCAACTGCTTCGTCTTCCTGCTTTCCCTTCTTCGCTTTTCCAGTCTCAATCGCTGGCTTCTTCCTCTTCGCCTTCTTCGGAGAGGCAACCTTAACCGGTGTAGTGGCGGATCCAGCCGGTTTAGCACCGTTTTGTTGAGTCTCACTTCGAGTTCGACGATCCATGCTCCGAGTCACTCTAGACGACGCCGTCGTTAAAGGTTTCGCCTTTCCTTCTCCATCAGCCTTGCTCTTTTTCGGCGGCATTGTACGGACAGGACAGGACAACAACAACAACAGGGTTTCGTCGAAAGAATCTTCTTCTCCGTTCGCAACCTTTTAGAACTTCTGAAGATGGTCCTCCTGTGTTATTACCGCTCTTTCTTACTTTTTCCAGGATTGATTTGGATGAACGGTTTAGATTAATCCTCCTGTGTTTGCTTTTTTACCTTCTAAAAGTAATCTGAATGAACGGTATCGATTTAACCTAAAAGGATTATAATGTTTTTTACTTTGACTGTTAAATTCTACGAGCGACATTTACGATTTATGATAGTCTTGGTCGTGTAAAAGGCAGTTAGTGCGCTACTGCTGTATTACGATTTACGAAACAACATTCATGTGATTTGAAACGCCGTGGTGTTTTGTGTTGCTTCTTTAAAATGATTTTATTAAGGGACCCTGAACTTTAAAATATCCAAAAGAATAAATGTCGCAATGCTAAAATATCTAAAGAGACATTACATAACATAATTAATCGCAATACAAAGTTTAAGTAATATGCTAGCACGCTAAATGTTTTGTTAACCATAAACAAAATCAATAACACCAAATCAGTTATTGTTCTTGTCTGTGCCAGGCTCAAACCCAACTTTAAATAGCTGAATGGTCCTCATATTTATCACAAGGCGGATGCTTTGGTTAAAAGTTTAACAAAGACCAAACATGAGAATTAGAGAATCCGATAAGCCTTTCATACCATCGAGGTGTAGTTAGGGAAGAGGTACATCAGCCGGTTCAGAGTTTCAGGATTAAACTTCCGAGCAAATAGATAACATGGACGTTGCTCTCCTTTCCATAAACACGGTTTTACAGTCGTCACTTTCTGCATAGAGAATGTTTATGGATCAGTAACAGAAACTCCAACAAACATGGTAATAATTATGAGACTCAGGTGTTTTACCTTTAAATCGCTTGTGACATGGTAAGCAAGTTGGATGGACTGCAAATCAGATTAGAACAGCATACTAAGATCGCAGAAAATAAAAATTCTAACAGCACATTGAGAATGAGAAGAACAAGTGGAACCTTGATTTTCCTGATGAGGTAAGGAGTGATGTCTCTTGCATTGTACAGTTTCGGATGCCATTTCCCCTCGGACCAATCGACATGTGTGACCGACCAGTTTGCTATTCCATCTGGATCAATCATCTGAAAGAAAGAGATCATGAGCGGAGAGATTACGATGAAATTAGAGGCAAATGAGTAGTTTAAGTTTAATAAGAGGCAAGCAAGCAGTACACTGACATTGAAAAGAGTTGGGAAATAATGCTCGTCTGCATAGCAGTTGCGTCCTTCCATATTTGGCTGCGACAAAATATAAGCCATTAAGGAAAATGTCGCTTAATTACACAAATGCTCATGATTCGAGATCGATAGTGACATTCTAAACATGCCTCAGTACCCTACCATCTCGCCTCTATGCTATAAAGAAAGGAAAACACATGGATTTTGTTTGAACATCACACAGCATGACCACTATGTCAATCAGCTACTATCTCAATGGGCGGATCACTGTCTAACTTAGATGACTTAGTTTGATCACCAACTATGAGCAACACAAATATTATGGAAGATTTGCAGAAAAAAGTGTCACCCGATAGAGAAGATTAGGACACACTACAAGATATAATTAATATTACACAATCATGTGAATATGAGATCGCATGAAATTGTAGGCTTGCTTACCCTACAATAAAGCTTGAATTTTGTGTAGTAAAGGCTGTCCGCCATAACGACTATAGCATGTCTCCTCTTCATTGAAAACCACTGGAAAAGATGATATAAAGACGCACATGTCAAGCTTCAAACAGATCAATCAAAATTGAGAAGCCAGAGTGGGGGACAATAATAAATATAGCATTAAGTAACAAAAAAAGTCGCACCCATAACTACAATAAAGACATGACCATTCTTTTTGTCTGAACTGCAAAAAAATATGATATCTTAACACATAACACATTAACATACCTGCGAGCCCTTCCGAAAATCCTTCTTTTCAACCTCAGGCAGCATATGCTGTGAATACCGACCAGATCCATGTGGTCCAGGATCCTCAAAACTGAAAATATGCAAGTTATAGGTACTTAATACCAGAGTCTCCAGAGAAGCCGGGATGACAGCAAGACATAAAAGAGATCAACCGCATGAGTAAATTGTAGGCATAATAAAACAACTTACCAATCAATGTAGCTGAGATTTGCGAACATCAAGTGATTATAGATATAGTTAAAGTCGAAAAGAGGTACACAACTGCCAAATAAACACCAGAGAAGATGGTAAGAGTAGGACTATTTAAGCATTATTAAAGACCATAGGAGATTTAATATCAAAGAGAGATGACGATTCAATCACCTATCTGAAAGCAACACAAAGTGTTGATTATCAGAATCAACTAGAGCATGAGCTAATAGCCTTCTTTCTGCATCAACCATGGATATCTGACCCCAAGAAACCTGCATAAGATTAGCATAATAAAGCTACCTAGAAAGATCACTACTAATTATAAAAAAATCAAAAAACCGACTACATGGTGTAGACAGTCTCATTTACCTTGTGACTGTGTATATCTCGACCAACAAAATAGCTGCTTGTATGCAGAGGGCTTTTCTTTGACGCGTGCACATAGATTGTAAATTTGCTCTCATGACCCTGAGTCAACAAAACAGCCCCCATTTCGTCAGGGATGATAAAAAGATAAGCTTGACCAAAGTGACATCTCTAAGGAAACTCCAAGTGATTTTAAAGAGAAAATCTTACACGAAGGAACATCTCCCAGAGAGGCTCAAAAGGAAGCGTCCCTGGTGTTAAGAACATGAAGGCTATCTTAGGATTCTTGGTCTTAGATAGAGGCAGGTTCATGATTTCATTCATCACAACTTGAGCTGCAGCTTCATTGTCAGTCAATTCCCTCGAAGGCACAAACAAAAACTGTTGGTATAACGGACATCCAGGACCAGAAAACATGTAGCACGCCACAGAATTCCGGGGAGGATAAATGAATGCTGTGATGACAACAACCGCAACGAGAACAACCAAAGTGATAATCCATCTCGGGCCTTTAAAAGGAGGCCTTTGACGAGACTCTGACATGACAGCAGTATCTCTTAAGCTACCGTTTGAAGTATCAAAATCATCTTCTTGAAAAAACTCACTCTTCAGAATCCCTGAAGAGAAGTAGAAAAACAAAAACATTAACTAACCATCGAGAGAGCTCATAAAGTCATAAGGCATCCCTATAATATAGGGATTGACCAAGAGATAGTGGTACTGTGAACAATGTGCAAATATACAGCTTAATCCAAATTCAATTGTGTCAAAGCAGTGAAGAATCAAGTGATTCAAATTACAAAACCACCAAATATCGCATCAAAACGGACTCAGTTCTTCTTTTAATCGGAAAGGATGACGAAATTCAAATTGAGATGCGAGTGGGCTAAGACGATCATCACTGTCGTCGTCAAAATGACCGTAGTAGACATAGAAACTGGTAAAGCGTGAAATATAATCTCATCATATATTGCAGCTCTATGAAACAGAGGAAAACAAACGGGAAAAACAACAGAAACCGGCTTCGGAGACGAAAGAGAACAAAAGATCGAACCATAGAAAACCACCGGTGGCGCAAATCCGCCGCCACGGCCCCCTTGGTGGAATAAGCGGACGATACGAAACGGAACAACTTGCAGGTAAGCGATTCAGAATCCCTAGCGGAGAATCTGAAGATCGAAGAATCCTCACAGTCCCTAATCTCCCGCAAATCCAAAGCGGCCTCTCTCTTTATCTCTTTCTCTCTCTCTCTCTCTCTCTCTAAGCACTAGAAACGGTCACTGTAGCTCCAAATGAGGAACGAACGGACTTCTCTTTTTTCAATTTTTCAATTAAATAGTTTTTTCTTTGTTTTTAAATCCATAATCTTTCTTTTTGGTTTATTAATCCTCCTTCTATATTATTTGTTGAAATCAAAACTTTAATGGTTAATCTCTTAATTAACTCATACTGTTACATTCATGTCAAGGAAATGTAAATTGAGAAAAAATATATACGAAAATGAGCTCTTTTGGAAAAATATGAGAGATAATAGTAGTTCTTTCATATTGAGGCTGATGCTTTGGCAAAGGCTGGTTTGCTATCATGTAACATCTCCTTCATGACTGGAGTTTGAGCTATTTTAATTAGAAGAAGTGTTGGTTTACCAAAAAAAAGATGTATTTATATATAGTAGATATTGTTGTGTTAATTAATTCACGATTTTAGTTAAATGCTTTTTAATCTAGGAAATTTTTATTAAGTTTTAAATTTACGTTTTATTGAAACTGATTAACTGAAACACGACTATTGGAATACAAACCAATATCCCACATCGGAGATTAGAAAGAGATATTTATAATATATAAGTCAAGTCCAACTCCAATTAGTATGAGGCCTTTTGGGAAGTAGCCCAATAAATCCGTGCGGGCTTGAGTTATAGGCCCAAAGCGGACAATATCATACTAATAAAAAGTTGGCTTGGACTTGAAAATCCAACAACGACAAATGGCAATTGTTGATCTACATATATTTTTGTAAACTAGTAAAAAACGAATGTAATTACGCACACAGCAATTCGTTTTCATATATCCCACCCGGAGAGATAAACGGCAAGATGTTTGCAGTGTAAACTGGAATGACCAAAGACAATGTTGGCTGCTGACTGATGAAAGTACGGGCAATCGAAAGACTTATTAAAATAACCAAGAAGAGTTTTATATCATCAGCCATGCATGCATTGAGTTTGACAACAAAAACAAAGGAGTCATGGAGATTGATATCATCAGACCCTAAAAGACAAAACGAACAAACAACAATAAAAAACGCTTAAACTAAAGAAACACAAAATTAACGGAAACAAGAGTAGAAATAACCCATGTCTCAAAAACAGAAGTCTAAATTTGTAAGGAAGTCGATAGCTTCCTGGGTGGCTTCGCACACTCTGGCAGAAGAGCAGAACTTGGTATGCATACCAACATAGTGGTATACCTGATCAGATACCTCTGCATTCACTACCTTGTTGCCGCTATCAAACCATCTATTCCTTAGTTTCTCTGCAACAGCAATGAGCGTAGGAAAGTTTGCTCTTTTAAGTAGAGAGCTTCTCGCAGTCGCAGGGTCCTCATGCAAAATCCCGTAATACCTAGGTGAGTCAGTTTTCTCAATTTCTCGATTAGCTTTTTTCCAATTGCTTACTTCAGTTGCTAACTCTGGAGCGTTGAGAACAGGGGAATCAAGATCAACAAGATTTCTTCAACAACATGATATCCTGCCATGTTGAGATTCGCCATTTTTTGTACCCAAGTTATTGTGACTTTGGACTATTAAAAGAGGAAGTAGAGGTAGCGATGTTTTTATAAACAAGAAAATCGAGGTGGAAGTGGAAACGTTTAAGTGCCTTTAAGATACGTGCATGGCTCTTTCTCGACCCAATTTAATCAAGTCCCAATCCTTGTTGTTGGCCTTTCGTCTATTCTAATTGATGATGAATCGTTAGTCCCAAGATGTATCTCTTAATTATCTCCTCCACGTTGTGTTTTCTTTTTCATCGTTGGCTATAACTTTTTAGTGAATTTATAAGCAAGAGTTCAATTTGTAAGAATACAATGAAGAAGCGAAAGAACCATGTTAAGAGTTACTGGAGTTATATGAAATAGGTGATCTTTCAAATATGCAAATAAAAAGAGAAAATTGAAGAGAAAGAAAAGAGTGTGAAATAAATTAATGATCGCAATATATCCACGTGAAATGGAAAAATACACTAAAATACACCAAGCTTTGCTAGATTTTCTCTAGTAAATGTCTAATCTTCTGTGTAAAAATACTGGAAAAAAACTGTCCAAAACAATACAAAATATCAAGGAAAGAAATCAACACTTTTGGACAAAGAGCCTCTAAAAACCCATCAGACACCAATTCGAGGTTTTCCCTTGATTCAAAAAGCAACCTGTCCGGTGACCTGACCTTAGAACAGTCCGCCACAAAGGCGTTTTAACCTCATGACCTGGAGCGATTAACAAGCAACTGATTAAGAAAATATGAGCATGAAAGCAACACGTAATTACCTAATGTTATGTCATAATCTCCATACGGGTCTATCTAGATGTATACTCAAAACCACATTCCAGCCAGAGAAGCAACAATCAGTAATCCGAGTTTGGTTCTGTCACTAACAGACTACATATTTGTTTATTTTCACAGTAACTAGACTACCTGATTTCCTCTGATGTTGGAAGCTAGAAAACTCATAACTACAATACTTTTACTGGAGAAGAAGAAGATGTTCCTCAAATAGCCTACTCAGTTTGGCAATATATCAAGCAAAAATTTAAACGTGAGAGTGTACCTCGACTATTTTGAGTGCGTGGAACAATGAATTTCACTTGTCAGTGTGGCCCCTTTTGGCCTTACGACGACCATGGTGGTGAGGGTGTTTTACAGGTTTCTTTGTCTTTGTGCTGCGATAAACAATAATACAAGACATTTCTATGAGTAAGAATATTATTTAAGACAGCTAAATGGGTTAACAAGGACACTTGCCAGAAGAGAGAACAGAGCACTCTGTAAGCAATGAAGACGGGTAATGCCAACAATGCAGAGGCCTACAGTAGATTAAGATTTTGACGTTACAAAGGAAACAAACAAAGCATGCAGTCTCAGAATACATTCTAGAAGAAAGTAAGGCAAATACCGCAAACCAAACAAACTCATTGGTAGCAAAAGGCTCCGTCAGCTCATGGTTTTTCAGTTTTCGTTCGACATGGGCTTGGACCTTCACAGATAAACATTGATAGTTTAGCTATAGAAGTCGAGCAAACTCATTGATGAATCCAAGGAGTGGAATAATTCATATATATATATATAATATGCACAAGTACGGTTTCAGTTTCAGACCTGATGGTGGTAAGTTGTGGCGGATTCAAGAAACTCTGTATAGACGATGATCACCTTGGTTGTATAAGGTTTCATTGCAACCTTTATTTTATCAACATGTGGTTTTGTGGTCGTGGCCACTTGGTCAACATATGGCTTGCTGAACTTTTTGGCCTCCTGGGGATTGTAACAAGCATCAAGTTTACATCCATAGATTTTAGCTGATTAGTGTGTACCAAAACTATCGGTGAAAGAATAAACAAATAAGAACAGTATACCTGATAATAGGGGTCTACAAATTCTTGAACCGTGACAATGTGAGGGGAAACAGCACTCTTTGATGCATGGTAAGTCTCTTTAGCTTTGATGGATAGTGTTCGAACATGTGGCTCAACATGTGTAGTAACGGTTTCCTTGATGGCTGGAATATATTTCTGCAAGTTGTGTCATAACACACAGTATATATAAGCCTATTGTAACTCTAGATATTGGTGATTCATCAAAAATGCAGGCATTCAATTAAAGCCAGAGAAATTTACTACAAAGAAAAATTGCCAATATGATGCTTACAGTTTTAACGTTTTCCACATGTGGTTCAGCCCACTTCTCAGCTTGAGCTTTTGCTTCCGTCACCTAATTAATAACAAGTAAACTTCATTAACCAGATGCTCTCATGCAGTGTAGATGCATAAATCTCATTAGCACAAAAGTTAAACAGCACCTTTAGAAATACTGTCTCCACAGCAGGTTTCCCATGGGCCTCCCAATGAGTCTCGGTATAAGTCTGTGGGTACATGAATCCCATGTTAATTGGGGAAAAAACTGCTATGGTACAAAATTGTATAAAGGCCAGCATGAACCTTACCTGAAATTTCAACCAGTGAACAGCAAGCCAAGGTGGAAGCCATGAACCATGAGCCTGAGTAAATAAAACAATTGACATTAGCTTTCAGCTGAATTATGGCTTCCAGGCTCCGCTAATTTCCCAAACAATACAATATCTAATGCTATAATGGAAAACTGTGTCAAACTAATACCTCCAGCAGTTCCTTGGCCTTTGTGGTTGCTTCAAGCTTCGTCCTCAACATTTCTTCCTGAAATTTTAAATTTGGAGAAGCTATATGTAAGGCAGAAACCAAAAGCATGTGAACTCTAATTTAATAATAGATCATTGTACCTCAGCTATCTTAATAGCACGTTCAAGTTTTCCTATTTTGTTCTTCTGCTCTTCATTTGTTTTCTGAAGCTGCAAAACATTAGATACTACAATTAAATATCTTCAGGACACTACTAGAAGAATTGGCTCAACCAAAAGTACATATCCATAGAAGCATAGTCGATGGTATAGTAAGGAAGTAAAAAGATCTGATGAAATAATCAGATTGTATTACGAAACCTACTCTAAACAAGTCCATACAACTCAGGCTCAGATAAAGATCAAACGCAAGTATCACATCATGCAAGGATCTATCCTAAGGAGATCTATTATAGCTGAGAATAGAAACTGCAATGGTAATAAATGACGATGCTTAGAGCATGAGATATTTTGAACTCAACCTTAAACAAAGTCAAGCTAAAGCTGAGATGAAACAAATGAAACAAGTGATGTAAACTGACATACTTTGTCAAGGCTGGAGTTAAGTTCAATTAGTTTTTTCTCAGCTTCATTAGTACGAGCTTCTGTGGAATCTTTCTCTTTGTTCTTTTGCTCCAAGAAGTTCTTGAGTACCTCTACCTGAATGGCAGAAGTAGCAAAAGATCAGGTTCCGTTTGCATGCATATTATAAACAGATAGAGTTATTAAACTTAGAGTCCCACCTGCTTCTCTAATTCAACAGCTCGTGCTTGAGCCTTTCCCAACTGTTTTGCAGAATCTGATGATCCCTTTTTCTGGAGAGGAGTGAAAACATTCAGATGGGATGTAAACGAAAAATGTCGAACAATTAGAACAATCTACGGACAGGTTCCAAACAAGTAGATGAAACTGAAACCATATCAAGATCCATACTTGTAGTGATGAGACTTCAGTCTGCAAGGAAGCAATCTTGTCTTCCCTATCTTTAAGAAGTTTTTCCTTCTCTGCTACTAACTCGTCTTTTCCCTGAACTTCCCGGGCTTTCTCGTCGATTTGAGATTCTTCACAACAAATAAAGAAAAGGATAACGTAAAGCTCAAAAACCGAAATTTGCATCGTTCACCAAAGAAACAATGCTATAAAACAAGCTCGAAGCTGAGAGGATTTGGCATATTTTGAGAAATGAAAGAAAAAACATAGCAAGCAATTCAACATTGGGTACAAGTATATACGATTCAAATCTGAAATGTATCCAAAAATTACCAATCAAAGTCAATGCTATTAGAAGAGAGAAACACATAAAAAGTAGACGAAACAGTAAAATTGCGATATCAATACGAATCCAAGTGGGGAAAAATCAAAACTTTGCAAATATACTCGATCAGAGGGAAAGAGATTTCGAGAAATGCAAGTCGCTAACTAACTAACTGAACTAAACTAACCAAGGGCACGGATCTTGGCATTAAGCTGATCAAGTTGGATCGAAGAGGAGCCATCATCGGATTCGGATCCAGCAGGGTCAACAGTTTCCGGGTCGGCGAAGACGGAGGTGGTGAAAAGCAGGGAAAGAAGTAACAAAGCCACGAGCTTCGCAGCCGCCATCTAAGTCTCTAGATTCGAATCAACGAAAAAGGGACGGAGATTACAAACAAACAAACAAGACAAGAGAGAAACGTTTCCTCTCTCACTGGGTCTCACGATCTCTCTCTCTCTCTCTATCGCACAGTTATATATATTTATGAAGGTCTCGGTGTGTAATTTTGTTTTGACTATGGACCGTAAGAAATGTCTTAACCCTTTTTTGTGTTAGAAACTTAGAATTAGAAAAAAAAAAAAAACAGAAACAGCGTGCGAAGACGAGAGAAAGAGAGGGAGAGAGAAGGTTTTTTTTGTGTGTGTTGCCAACGTGAACAGAGCTTTTTGAGGCTTCGTGGGTCTGTCGTGACCGACGAGGACACGCGGCACTCATCGGATCCACTTGTGTGCTTTCAATTAATGACGTGGCTGAAATCCAAACGTTTATGTATGTTTATGGGCAAGAGAATATGGACAACTAATTTTACCGGTCGATAATTAATGTCAGTATTAAAACTAGTAGTAAGTAAGTAATAAGTCATCAGATCAGATCTCAAATACGTAACACAAGATGTATGTATGTATGTATGTACTCTCTTTCTTTTTCTATTGAATAAATCTAATATTTCAAATTTTCAACCAGACTCGGTGGGGTGTATGGTCCAACTCCAAATAGTGCCAAGTTATTAATTTCCCCGTAAATTAAACAACTTCTTCTATTTTGGATTTGCAACGAAATTGCATGTATAAACATTTGCCTGATGATAGAGCTAAAGAATCTTTGTTTTTTTCTCTCCAAGCAACACACATCATGCACGTTAACAATTATTTATAAATATCTTTAATTATGCTCTTGATCCCAACACAATCAAAGTTTATATATATCTTTATATTTTGTTTTTTAAATGTAAAAGGTTCGATTCGTGATAGCTAAATCTGTACGATTGATTAAACATCTCGACAATAAGTACCGCTAGCTGGATTCCTTAGATAGATGTGTTTGGGTGTTGGGTCTATGGTTTGTTCCCTTTTGACATTAAACCAAATTAACAAAACTATTGAGTGAGTAACTAGCAACTATATATATATATATATATTAAACAAATTCAGTATACATGGGCAATTCCAATGCCAACTCAGCTCAGCTAATCAGAAGCAATATGATCTAAGAGCACCTCCAATGATGCTTACCATTGGAGGGTGCTAATCAATTTTTTAAAATAAATTTTCAAAAATAGTGCTTATGTGTTGCTTATAATCACAATTTAAGCTATGGTACTTACAATATTTTCTTTTTTATGATTATAATCATTACATATAATGATAAGCAATGTGTTAAAGATACATTAAGCATCTCCATTGGAGGTGCTCTAACGTAATCTTATATTTTCAGTCATAGAAAAATGTACCTCTCTGTATACTCTAATGTTGCGGTCGACTCATCAATCATCAGCCTCTCCATAGTTCTTGCTGCTTCTCTAAGTTTCCCTGAAAATGACATTCTGTGAAGAAGATTAATAATTATAGTATGTGATTTCTTATAACTTTATAATTAATTAGTACTAAAAACAAATTATCAGGTCACAAGGTATCGATGATAACCATTTGAGCTAGGTTTTACAATCTTGTTGTTCACTTTGTGTTTTTGCTTTAGTTATTCAATTTCCTTGATTTGTATGATCGTAACATAGTTTCTCTGTTTTAAATCCTCTTGACTTTTCTGTTCTGCAATGCATAGTTGACAAAAATGACATATGCTTATCTAGCTGGTCTCCTCAGAATTAATCATACTCTCCCTTCTGTGTTTATCCTACAATGTTCGTCTCTCCATCTGGGCGAATACTATATCGATGGCTAGCTCGTCTTCTTAAATTCTCGTTAATTAAAAATTAGTGTCCATAGCGATTAGGTAATATTTAAATTTTTATATATTGTCTTTGGGAGGATTTATTTAGGCTCTCGTGACGACGGATTCCTAATCACACACATAACAATTATAACAACTAACCAATTTATAAGAGAGATACTAATGCACGGAATATATATGTGAACATCACAGTTTTTTTGGCCCATTTCTTTGTCGACGTCCACATGCATTGCAACATTACAAACAGAAAATAACGTACACACCAAGAGAGCTGTGCGATATATACGTTATAAAGTCACCCACATGGAATTGCCAATAATAACGCTCAGTATACCAAAACGTGATTTATTTACTACACCACACACTCCAATATGTAAATATCTCAGTGTTGTCATTGTACGTAAACTTAATTATGCCCAGCAAATTAAACCCTACTCAATATACTGTATATGATATATAATTTTATACTAAAGCGCATATATAAGTTTTTAAATCCACGTACAGATAAAAATAAAGCGCAAAATTAATCTTCGAAATTTGCAACTTCCTTGTAAATTCAGTAGTCATGGCCTTAACAACAGAATAGGACGATAATATCGCTTTTAACTACAAATCACTTGTTCTAGTACGACGTACTGACCAAAACTCCATTCTACACAGATCCGAAACACGACTTTTTATCGATTTTACTTCTTTCTTTACCGAAGAAGAAGAAATCGAGGTTATAAAGAAGAGGAACCATCACGACCGAGCACAGAAACACAAGCACCGGTCCAAAAATCCAAAGCATCAAAGGCAGCGCTGCGTAGAACAACCGGTTCCCTACGGTATTCAAAACGAACCCTCTCTCTAGCAACTCAGCCACGTACTCCTCTGCTGTCATCATCATCTCATCCTCCAAATCCTCCGGAGGAAAAGGAGTGTTGATGAGGATGTTGACTTGGTTGATGAAACGAATCGAGAGGGAGTGAGAGAAGAAGGAGAAGAGGAAGATGGTGAGGATCGTGACGTACTTGAGAGCCACCATGAACTCTCCGCGAGCCCCAAATATGACGTCGTTTAGGGGCTTCTTCACTGCGTATGTGCTGCTTATAACTGCAGCTAGACCCGCGCAGAGAAGGATCGATGTTGTTGCCATTAAAGTCGACCCCATTATGCAGTTTCTAAGCGTTTGAACGGCCAAGATGTTCTTTTTCTCGTTGTCCTAATCAACCAAATATATTAAAACAAATAAAAATAAAAATTTTATATATATATAAAAGAAGTTGAAGGTTACCTTAATGATGGAAGCGACCCAGAAACGGCGAGCTCTAGCGTTAGTGCCGATGATGGTGGTGAGAGGCTGTGTGCGTAGCTTGTGCCACAAGTAAACATGGTACGCTGCGTATACCATTAGCCCTAGCGGCACCAAGATCACATCTAAATAACATTCTCTCCATTCCATTTTTACTTCAAAATTATCGAAGTTCTTTCCTTCTTTTTATGTTTTTCTCTTTGTTGTATGTGTGACTTATTGGAATGTTTGGAAAACAAAAAGTCCCTATTTATAAGAAAATTGACATTGGTAATTAATAAACCCAAAAAAAAAAAATGAATAAAAGAAAGAAAAACAAAACAAGAGAAAAGACATAAAGGTACGTGGGGGTGGATGGAGAGGGTGATGCCGTGGCATAAAATTTGTCCTTTTGTTCGCCATTGTTGTTAGTTTTCAAACCACCAAAGTGATCTCTATAGCTGAGCCCATGATACTATTTATAATTCTTGCACGCTTTTGATTTCTATCTTCTATATTAGTTCTTTCTTCTTCTACTCATATCTTTGGAAAAAGGCCTATACATTAATCACGTACGCGTATATATATATTTTGTATTATTATATATGATCTTGATTCTTGAAATGATATAGATATGATGTATATGTGTGTGTATAGATTAATACATGCACGTTATACAAATTGTCATGTACGATAAAGCTTCGAAAGTTTGAAACTGATAGTCGGATACTCTTTCCCAATACCTGGTGAGTCTGGCAAATATATGCTGCAGTATCAGAAAGTTTCAACTTTTTCGAATAACGTTTCACATATTCTTTAATTTAAACAGACAAAACGTATATAATTTTAAGGATTAACAAAAAACTAAACAAGATCATATCATATAGAGATTTAAGAGAACGTATCAACGTACTATGATATATTTTCGTACGTGTGCGATATATATGATACTGCAGCGATAAAAATTAATTACTCCACAACAAGGTAAGAGACTATACGTTAGTTTTACAAACTTTTTTATACATAGAAGAGCTATAGTTTTGATAAATAATACAATACATACAACACTATCTATGTATATCTTACAATTTATAATATATAATATACGGATGGATAGCACTAGAAATTAAAACTGAAAATAACTAGCAATGTATAATTTCCCAAAGAGTAAAAAAATGAGTGAAATCTGACGAGGACCATATACATATGGTATATATCGATTTATCGTCAGTGATAATAATTAGTCCTTATCATATGAGATAAGACAAAGACATTGAGGCCGACCTTTAACCATCTCCGATAAGTTTCATGCTTCCCTCGTCACTTAGCTTATTTGGTATTGTGTACGTGTTTCACTCATTTTATCTTCCCACAAGTTGGAATCCTACCTAGCTATATATTATTTCCACAATTCACATCAGCTTCTCCCTCTATACACTTATTCTCTTTCTTCTGTTATATAGACTTATTCTCTTTCTTCTGTTATATAGTAAATATTTGTTTGCTGTATAAGATCGACTGTTGTTTTCTTGAATCTCCTCGTTACTATATTTGAGGAATAAAAAATGAGAATAAAGTAAATATATATGTACATACAATATCGTTAGAAGAGTATTATAAGCTTTGGTCGTGACGACGTTCTTGGACGGGAAGTGCGGCTTGATTCATATTGTGAGTGTCCTTTGTCGTATAATTCAAACTTTATATATAGTGCTCCTTTATATCCTCATTAGTTATAGAACTAAAGGAACTTTAAAAGCTAGATCAATCATCGAACAATATATTGATTGCTATAAAATTGGACTATATATTACGACTTATTGAGTATTCTAAATGTTGTGAGTAACCAAGTTGGCTGTCGTTGTTATATAGTTATTAATTGGACGTATTTGGATCAATGTCTGTGACTGACCAAGTTTAAATAGGGTGTTGTTACTTAACAAGTTAATGGCTAATTTTCTAGGGTGGTTTGACGTTTGGATAGGTTATAATTAGTGTGTCGCTCTTTCACAAATAATACTATCTCGGCCTATCAAATTGTGATACGTGAAGTCTAGTTACACATCACATACTAAACAGAAGTTTAATTTAGAACAAAAGTTTATATAGCACATGTCTATACATAATCTAGAGTAGCATAAGAATATCTCTCAGTTTAGTGCACATCAGAGATTTGAAGATGTGCAGAATAAATCATGAATGAATAAATCTGAAGAATTGTGTACTAGAAGATGTGTGGTTGGCTCAACCCTACTTTTTTTTTATGATACTTTTCCCTCACTAGACAAATTCTCATCCCATAAGCAATGTGCTCGATCCAAAACATCTTTTTATATATATCGACAAAGTAATGATGTTTACATCTCTCGGTAGATTTCTATTCTGAGAGGACTTTAGACTTTCGTTTTATTTTGATGATCAGTGTTCTTATCTTAAAGATCACCAATTACAATAGAAAGAAACAGAAAAAAATAATTGAGTCAAAATTTGTTTTTCTTTCCTGGTCTTGTAATATATCTTGTAGCTTTGGAAGATGGACTTAATTGATGATGTGAAAAATGTCTTTGAATATATGTCAGTGTTATTTAGGTCACTGGCCACAGATCAGACATCATGTTATTAGGCGTTGATGTTCAAATCCTGTTTCCCACATAAAGGAATTATATGCTCTCATTTGTGGAATCCAATTTTATAAAGTAATGCTTTTGAATAATAGTGAAACTTTCTTGGACAACTCAATTTATTTTAAAGTGGAACTGATCAAAAAGCAAGATTTTTTCTAATCATACTGTAAGCATACAAAATAACTGAAACTCTCTGATTTTTTTTTCTTCTTATTATTTCCTTTTGAAAATTATATGCTCAGCAAATATAAAACAACACTTCAAAGCGAGTTATCGGTGCTATCTGCCTACTCATAAAATAGTTTGGTATGAATAATAGAATAAATCGTTCTACTTCAAATTTCTTCATGTTTTGAATCACAACTCACAAGGCACACCAAAATCTCAATAGTATAGAGTCGTAGTTACAGAAGAAACTACTATAAGATGATCATGAGCGAAGACAAAAAAACGTCACCGTAAAAAAATGATGAGAAAGAGGGAACTTGGAGATAAAACCTCACTGAGGCAGTTTTCATATATTGCTCGGTCCGAATTATTACTGTTATCATAGTGACGTATTCTATCATTTCTTTTGGAGACTTGACGACGACACACGTCTACATGTAGTTGCAGACTTACCATTTGAGCTAATTAACCCACTTACTCAAAAACATGTGTTGAGTCTTGACCATATCTCTTTTATGTTTATAGCCCAATATATATTACAAAATGATTTGGGCTCGATAGTTGTGAATATTAGGCGTACGTGGGTTTTCAAGATTAATTAAGAAAAAAAGGACTTTCGCTTGTTTCAACCTTCAAGGCCTAGCTAGTTTCTTTACTGGTGTACACTACTATACGTATTAAAAATATGTGATAACCTAAAAAATTGTTTAGCAACAAAAGTGAGTAGATAATCATCACTTTAATTTTCAGAACTGGTTTTATAGGGATATGTTTGGAAAAAAAAAAACAAGGGCAATGCGCATTTATGTATGGTATTGAATGTTACTGTTGAATATTACTTTAAAAAAGAAAAGAAAATGTATTGATATAACGGTGTATGACGATGAGATGTTATTATATATAAATCCATAATTTCCTCTTTTTGCTTCCTTGGCTTTTATATACACTATCATACATTTTAGTTTATCCATTTTGTAAAACAGCAAATCAAATCTTGATAAAAGACACTGGGAAATCAGATCAAGCAAAAGGGCAAATGCTTGCATGATCAGGGTTTGATTAATTAATAAAACGGGAATTGGAATGTGTATCATTATACTAATCAAGAGATTTAATACTACATACTAATATTTTGCAAATAATGATCTTAGACCAAATAACAATCATGAAATGTATTATTGAGTTATATATTGGCACGTAGAAAGATCAGGGAATAATAGCCAGCTATATATAGTTTTTTCCTAATTTTAATTATGGTACCATTTTCTCAATTATGTGTTAGGGCTCAACTCAATCATTTGTACGTGTTTGTTCCTTCATGGTGGTTAGTACCACACTTTACAACAGAAAACTCAAAAAATATTTCTTTAAATTAGACTTATTTTAACAAATTTTTTTTTTCTATAATATCATGGAAAATGTACGGAATTACTACAAACCTACTTATTATAACCCTCCAAAGAATAGAGCTCATGTGATTGCTTCTACAGAATCATCACGAAGTAAGTAATTAATCATTTGAATTAGGAGCAACAAAACTCTGATTAAGTTATTAAAAACTAACCTACTAATTAATGCGTAAAAAAGAAAGAAAGGAAGAACGTGTATAGTGATATAGGCCATGTTGTACGGGCCACTACGTATGAATTGAAGAATCATGAAGATGATAAAATTGTTTAATAGTACATATGGTGGATTGGTGGCCTAAGTGGTCTCGTGTAGGATAGCAGTTACGGCCGTGATAAAATAAAATTTGGTAAACTAAAAATAAATCGGTGGACGATGATGCTTTCACCTAGCTAGCTAGCTGTTGACCCACCGTTGATTTTAACTTATACATAATTCATCTTAAAAGTTTGAATCTCATCATAAATAAAACATATGATATGTGTCGTGTTGTCTTGTTATAATCCAAGTTAAAATCCGAATATGTTCGTTTGCAAGTTGTAGAAAACTAAAAAAACAATACATAGCACATATAACAATTATATACTCTTTAACTCTTATAATATTCATGTTACACCTACATAAATAGGTTTACATCACTAAAATCTACGTTCGTAGTGTTATGTTATGTGCTACGACTTCACTTGTGTATTGTTTTCTAATAATAATGATCATAATAATTAAATAAAACAACACAAGACTGGATGGATGACAATAACCAAACTACTGAGTCTGCCAATAATGTTATTTGTGGTGTATGAAGTATGATAATGTTTATATTAGTAGACGAATCACATAATTTGTATTTTGAGTTATATATAATCTAGCCTAGTTTGAACTCGTTACGTAAATAGAAAATATAATATTCTAATAAAAAAAAAGTATTATGATTTACGTTGATAAAATATTAACAATGCTTTATGCGTAATTTTTGCTGATATATATAGTATTCATTGCTTCCCCGCTAGTTCATCACCAGCACATGCAACGATCGCCAGTCTGAAAACTTCAATGCTACTATAATATTCAAATAAGTTTCTTTTTAGTTTATTAAATCGGCGTCAACTTTTCTTTATTATCATGCAATTTTTATGCAATAATAAGCCGACTTTATCATAAGAAGTTTAACCAATTCGAATATAATTCAACACATATGATTTAGTCGTTGTAACCAATCATTTTTTTCCATGTATATAATTTTCGGAAAAAGTTCTTTGGTATCTTGTTGATTTACTTATTTACAAACACATTTACGATATACAAAAAAAAAAAAGAAGATGATTTGGATCTGGAGAAATAAAACACCACCCACCCTATTTGGAAATTAAAATCTACAAGAAAGTAAAAAAGGAAAAAAGGTCTAGAGGGTTCACATGGGGGGGGGGGGGGGGTGGTTCGAATAAAACCCGAAACCGCACGAACATTGACGTGGAAATTGAAGTCCTTTATTACCGACACGGTCCTCCATGTTCGAATGAGAGATGCGTGCTTCGGTAAAAGTAAATTTACTACTATTCTATTAAACTCTCTCTTTTTGTTTTGTCGTTACTCCTAAAATTAGGAAAAAAGTATTATCTAAAATCTATTTTTTTATACTAGATTTCTGAAAAAGGGAAAAAAAGGTGATGAGGAGGAGGAGGAGGAGATCCAATCCTTAGATTCATGTGAACTGAACTGTGAAGCCGTTTGCTTTGGGAACTGAAGCCTTCCTCTCACCATGTTTCATGTTTCATGTTTCATGTTTCTTTTCTCTCTCACACTACCTCAACATTTACCTTCACTTTTTTTTTTTTTTTTCCTTACATTCGAAGTTATTTATTTTTAGCTTCTATTCATACATATTAGAGCCTTAAATACACACACAGTACGTATGACGGAGTCGCGATTAGTAATAAAATTTTCGTTTTTAAAATAAGTAATTCTAAAGTGGTAGAGCCCAAGTCTAGCAGGTTTATTTCCTTTCAAGGATGTAAATAGAAACTTTTACTTGTCTTCTCCGTGGAACAAAATGAATGAACCGAAAGACTCAGTATCTAGTCTCTAGAGTGAACATGTTACGATACTACGTAAATATCATTAAACATCGTTAGTAGTAATTTATACGTATCTCTTGCATTCACTCTTTTTTTTTTGGTTCCTATCATTATTATGCAGATAAAATGGCTGAAAGAGTAAGCTACATCTAAGTCTTTTTTTTTTTTTCTCTTTTACAAAATAGTTGTGGTGTTGTCAGTTAAAAAAATGGTGTACTAGTTGCTAATTTGAAACGCAATCCCAAAAGCATAAACAAACATGGCTTTAATTAAGTTATTAAGAGAAGAAGGTCAAACAAGATGTAATACCTCAACGAGAGGTTTTTCAAGTTGGTTATTAAGAAACCAAAAGCATATGATTAGTCGATTATTTTTTTAAAAAGATTTATTTTCAAAATTAATCTATTAAATATTTTAAATCAAGATTCCCAAATGTCATCAGCACCTCTATATATCTCCCTAATCTCCAAAAACCCACCATGTCGATCTCCATTATTACACACAACACACACACAGAGATAGTAAAATAAACACCAAGCACATAGCCATTTCTCTCCTTCTTCAGTTTCCGCCGCCATGGAAGCCAAGAAGTCAAACAAAATCAGAGAGATCGTTAAGCTTCAACAGATCCTCAAGAAATGGAGAAAAGTCGCCCACGCATCAAAACAAGCCAACAACAACAAGATCGACAGCGTCGATGACAACAACAACAACATCAGCATCAACACCAATGGAAGTGGAAGTGGAAGTGGAAGTGGAAGCGGAAGCAAGAGCATCAAGTTTCTGAAGAGGACATTATCCTTCACAGACACAACAGCTGTTCCTAAAGGCTACTTAGCTGTCTCTGTGGGGAAAGAGGAGAAGAGATACAAGATACCAACAGACTACCTTAGCCACCAAGCTTTCCACGTGCTGTTGCGTGAAGCAGAAGAAGAGTTTGGGTTTCAACAAGCTGGTATCTTGAGGATCCCTTGTGAAGTTGCTGTGTTCGAGAGCATTTTGAAGATAATGGAGGACAACAAGAATGATGCCTACCTGACCACCCAGGAGTGCAGGTTCAATGCCACGACTGAGGAAGTGATGAGTTATCGTCATCCTTCGGATTGCCCTAGGACTCCATCTCATCAACCTCACAGCCCAATGTGCAGATAGTTTTTTTTTTGTTTTGTTTTCATTTGCCTTGTTACTTTAATCCATTCTTCTTCCTCTTCCCCATGTTCCCCCTTTTTCCCTTGGGGATTTGGACTTTGTGTACTATGTTAACTTCAATGAGAAAAAGAGTGAGAGATAGAGAGATTTTTGAATAATGGAATGTACAAACGGATCATTGAAACAGACCAAACAATGAAACTCTCTCTCTCTCTCTGCCCTAAAGTGAATCAAGGAAGTAAAGAGTCAAACTCCTTGTTAATCAGTAGATCCATTCAATAATGTTCTTCGGTTCAAAGTTGAAGCATGTAAATGTGAGACCACAATACAATCTTCCGCTGTCTAGATCACTGCTATTTTCAAATATTATAGAAGTCAATCCTACATCCAAGAGGATAACTCCGTACGAATTAACATGGAGGACAATGTGTCACACGAGTAGTTTAAGAATGGATAATCACAAACATTTATACAAGAATAACTACAGAGTTTAGTTTCCTTTTTCAACATCTGCATTTGTCCTCTAACTCTAAATAGAAACCAAACCCAAATCACCCCAAAATGCCAAGTCAATTTAAAGGATGAACCAAGTACTGGTGGTAAGCATACTCTAGTGGCTAGATCGTAAATTCGGGCATCCCATTGTGCTATTGTGCTTAGCTTACACTCGGCCATTGTGCTAGTCATATGGCAGTTTTAGGTTAGGCTTAGGCCGGATACCTTGTTACAGGAAAAACAAAAGGTTCATGCGTCTATATCTATGCATCCTACGTTCTTTCCGGGAACTACCCATGTGTATTGATGTTGCAGCTATTGCCAAGTAATTAGAGACTTAAAAATAAACTAATAGAGTAACTAACATGAATTAAAATAGTGTATAAAAGATGAGTACCTACGGCAATGTACTTTTTAATCTTCAAGTGGAGACTGTGGTTGTTTAACATTTAACTATTTAGATTCACAACGTACAGTAGTATCCTATGCCTTTACAACCGAAACTAAATGCTATAATAAGTATCTTAATTAGTGAATATAATAACAAAACCACAAGCACATTTTCTCTAAACTAAGTACCCGCTCATTATTGATCACTCACATGCAATTTACGATTAGTCCCTAACAGAGTACGGCAAAATAAAAAAGGAATGATCTTGGTATCCTCCCAAAATCAATCAAGATTCAAGAGAGAGAGAGAGAGAGAGAGAGAGAGAGAGAGAGAGAGAGAGAGAAGATGATGTTCATGGAATGATATGTTTATGTCCTCTCTCACCTGGTTTAAGGGATAGTCAAAGTCAGAGCTTAACAAGCAGTGAGATCTGATAAAACGGAAAGGCCACATGACATCTGCACCCTGAGACTTAACTCCCATGTAAAGCAATCACCCAATAATACATGTGTAATCATCTCCCTTAACCTGATCTCAAGGATACTGTAGTAGTGATTATATGAGCAACTTGAAGGAAGTGCAGGTTATATATATAAAAGAAAAGACAGCAAGATCCAGCAAGAAATTTAACATGAACGAACCATAGGCCTCGGAAACTTAAAAATAATTAAATGTCACTGTACCTCCATGACTCATATAGTTTACTGGATTAAGAAGATTGGTATTCAAAGTTATGAGCTAAAAGACAATCAGAGAAACAATGGAAATGCTTATTTTCCAAGGCATTAGTCATTTGTAAGCCCTTTGAAGCAAACAAAATTAAAGAAAAACAGTCAACGTTTTAATGAAATTACATGATCATGCCAAAGCCCATTCATGTCTCGGTAGTAGTTGCACAGGAGTCATGAACATTCTGTTTCTATAGTTCCCCAAGAAGCATTGTTCAGCAAAGGCATATCACTTTAATATAACTGCAAGTACCAAAAGTCATCAGAGAGTATCAGCAAGAATCCAGAGGTTTCCCATTCTCAGAATCCTGCTTAAAGAATGTTCTGAATGTGTCCATCCTCGTCTTTGCTTCTGGTAATTTCCTATCCTCCAGAAATTTCTTGGTCGCAGTTACGAAACCTTCCTTGTCATGTCGTTTCCATTCCTAACAAGTAGTTTGACATATTGTAAAGGTTGAAACCTTCCACATTCTAAAAGCACTAAAGGAAGCATATAGTTAAAGATTTAAAACCTCGAAATCCCATTCTCCATAAAGATCCGGGTCATGTTTGTTCTTCCACACATATGTTTGGACTTGCAGCTTCTCTGAAGTATCCTGCAGATGACAAAGCATCAAGAGGTTGATATGTCAGAATCCAATATGTAAAAGGTAGTTGTTCTTATCAAAAACTTTAATTACCGTCAGCGCCACTTGCACAGCATTTCTGTCATATTCAACATCCTCAAACTCATCTAACATTTTCAGTTCATCATCTGTGATTCCCTTTAGCACCTTACAAGAACAACAGACACTACTTCAAATTCAAATTTCTGATAAACCTCAAAATCAAGAGTACACACATACACAAAACAAGGAGGGTAACACAATTATCTTTTAGAGTAATATAACATCAAAATTCCCCACAAAGAACAATGGCCGTAAAGTTTTCCTATGGATTTAAAGTCTTGTCCTAGTTTACCCATCTGTGAAAAATGGAGATTAGGGATCATAAGTGAACCTTCCCGGTGACTTCTCCGGTACCGTCCGGTAGAATGGTTGGATAAACGCGGCCTTTGAGTCTAAACCTGTGACTGAGAATCCCGGAATCTCCGTCAATCAACATCAATTGGATCCAAAACAAATGAAACTAAGACAGATTAGGTGTGAGAGAGATAAAGAGAAACGCACAAGCCGGAGAGGACGGCGGAGACACTATCAGGGACGCGATTCAGAAGCACCTTAACGACTTCGGATTCCTGGAGGCTGCCATAGACGAACAGATCATGACCAGCTTTCCCCGATAACATACTCATCTTACTCTTGTCTCTCCGCGACTTTCCAGTTCCTGCCACTGATTCTAGCTAGCACACAGAAGTTCAAGTGTCCATTGTCCAGACACGTGTCAAGCATACAAAAGGTTGTATTTTTATTTTATATTCACTGTATTTTCTTGGTCTTGTTATGTTAATTAACTGACTGGAAAATCAATTTCGGAGAAGATGGTAAAGTTTGGAGAACAGAGGAATTAGAAAACCATAGCCATAATAAACACGATATCCATTAAAAAGTCATTACAAAAGAACCTCAAACAGCGTTTAAAGTCTTTAAGACACTGGAAAATGTAATGCAATATCTAAAATGTTTGCCCAAGAGTAAGATAATGATCGTTGTCTGCTCATCACATGGCCATTGGCTCAGGACCGGCAGCGTTCAGGATGTCTAAGAGTGAGTTTTGGGGCTCCAATTCCTCGTGCCAAAGCTGCAACTTATCTCCAGGGTAGAAGTTTCTCGTGACTCCCTCTGAGTTGATCTGTTCAAAAACATCAAAAGCAGTTTGTTACCTAACTTCCAGTAAAGAGGTTATAAGTCTCTGCTTCCAAGAATTTTGGTCAGAGATATATCTTACTATGACAGTTCGTACGACACCTCCACTGGCTCCATCACGGGCGATGGCTAATGATACTGCCTTCACAACAAGTTGCTGCGATTTACAATAGCAAGGACCAGTTACAACATATGGAAATTGTGAGGATTATGGCATAAGCATAGATATAAGGATACTTACCTCGGCTTCTTCTTTGGTCATGTTTTCTTTCCAGGCCTGATCGAAGAACCCGTAAAGATAGCTTGAACCAGAACCTAACCAAACACACACACATCTCTATTAACTGTTAACAGAAGCTAAGTATCATGTAAGTAAATAGCAAAGGTAACTTAATTGAATACAGCTATGTTTAAACCGAATGATCATTAGACACAAAACAATATGGTTTTTACCTCCTATGGCAAAAGGTTGCTCGACTACAGTTCCACCGAGTGGAATTCCATAGATTTTCCCACCCTCATACTTGTCCCATCCTCCAACGATGAGACCAGTTTGGAGCATGTTCTGCCCAACAAAGACATACAATGCTTCAGTCAACAATCCAACTCATCAAAACAAGGAATGACGGTACAATAACACACAGGATAGGTTCATGGTACAGATAACTGAGATTGTAGCATATCTACACAATAGAATGCATACGTCTTGAGAACTGCATACAGTAGCAATAAAATAGATACGTTCTACATTTCCATTTAAAATGCTCCTTCTTCAGAGAAGAGAACAATCATTACAACAACACTACGAACAACAAGAGATTCACAAATACTAGCATGCTAGGTTTGAGAGTGTAACATCAATCTTTATGGCCCCAAAATTTTCAGCTGAAGTTACAATAAAGCAATATAAAACATAAGCAAGTTGTCATGTATCCTGAGGTCAAACTTCCAAACAAAAGTTATCAGTGACCTTTAGAGCATGTTTCTCCAACATTCACACTCCTTACTATAAGTTCAAGTAAGTGGTAAGAAAACCACACGAAACTACAAGCTCTAAAGCAAACTTGTACCTTGTTATTATAAGCGAGCATCCTGATAAGGTTGGCAGAAACCTTTACAGTCGCAGGCTGCCCCAGCTGAATTCTGTAAAACAAAAGCAAACGCATTATTTCATCTTCAGATATAGAAGATAACACAAGTATATAGTCATGTATTTTGGTCGAATCAATGCGAGGATGAAACACTCACGTATGCTGGTGAAGGAAGTAGCGAACATAGTCAGAGACAACTTGAGAATCAGCAGCCTGCAAAGGGAATAAGAAGAGAGCTTGTTGTAATCAGTAAAGTGCATCTACGATAACCCATTAGCAAGTTAATCATGAACAATAAACATAAGTAAGAAACCCAGCAAGCAAAAGAGTTACAAGAAGAACTAGCGAGCAAAATAGTCACCACAGAAATGGTCAAACAAAAACAAAAAAATGAAATCCCAAAGATAGATCCAACAAACGAGAGATTATTACCGATCCAGAGCGGCAGACGTAGACATTATCTGTGAGTTGTGTGATCTTATCAGAAGCCCTGTTCGCTACGTACATCCCTGCGCGAGTAATTCACAACAGATCCCAATTTCATCAGCTTTGTCGAAATTTCCAAAATAGAACAATCGATTACACTTACTCTCCGTTCCGATTGAAACGAAAACGAAGCTCAAAGACAAACCCAACGAAAAATAAATAAAACCCTAGAAGAGTATAGAAGGGTAAAATCTCACCGGTGCTGGTACGTGAGTCGGCTCCGAGGACGACACCTCCATTGTAAGTGACGCCGATGATGGTCGTCCCCATAGAGTGCGGCGCATCGAGATTGAGATCCATCGCTGGAGAAATCGAAACTTCTGACAACCGTAAAGAATCGCTGAGCTTGATAGTTTTGCGAGTTAGATTACGGTGATGACTGATGAGAAGAAGCTTTAAGAAAGAAGAAGAACTGGCTTATACCCCAAGCCGGCCTCTCTATTACTTTTTTTTCTTTTTCCCTTTTTTCTGAATGCAATGTGTTAAGCAAAAGAAAAACCAAAAAGGTCGTGATTTACGTAAAAGCCCAAGATATTTGTTCCCCCTAAAAACCGTATGAGCCCACTATCTAATTATCGTCATGGACCATTCAAATCAAAGCCCAATACGTAATTGGCCACAGTTCTATAAAACTACATTTTGGTAAAGTGTTTTAAAAGTTTCAAGTTTTTAAACTATATAGGGAGTTAGGAGAGTGATGTAGGGAGTCAATTTTTTCACCTAATAGAAGTTTTGTTTTTCGTTGCAATTTGACTTTATATTGTTCGAACTAAGCTAGTAAATGTCATTTATTTCCTTCAATAAGTGCATAACTAGGCACTCGTTAGGACACACAAGACAACAAAGTTCCACACAAACAAAAGATTACAACACCTCCTCTACTCGGAAAACAAACTTCAAAAACAAAACGACCTGATTTGTCACTCGTCTCTATGGCCAATTAATTAAGAAGTAATCTGCAAGAGCTATGTTGTAGTGGCAACAGCTTCTGGATGAAGAGGAAGTATCTGATGAGCCGTAGGGACATTGCTCTTCGACTTGTTAGCTACACGGCTCACTCTTGATTCCTTCACCGGAGACACCTTCTTTGTTGAAGACTCTGCAAGAACCTTCCTCACCTCGTTTGCCAGCTCTATAACATAATCCTCCTCATGCCCTGTTTAAGAAAACAACAAAATGGCTCAGCATATCAAAAACAGTGTCTCTCTTTAAACCCTTCAAGGTCGGACAGAGCCTTTGCCTCGTAAAAGACTACAAAGCTTGAGCAGACGTTGTTTTCCAAAAGTGATTATCAATGTTCAAACCCCGAATGAGTAACTTTTAATCATGTTGTAGAGAAAGCGAGCTTGGACTAACCAATGTCGTGCATTGCCTTCTCTAGCAGGAAGAGATAATCTCTGTTGTTACCACATGGTCCATTGGCTGTCGCTATTTGTCTTTGGATACACAAAAAAACGTGCTAGTGTGAGGACAAGAATCTGGCATATAAATTGTAGAGCATAATAGGTTGGTCTGGAGACAAATAAGTTTTTACCTTGCCATGTCTTCTAATGGCGCAGGTCCAAGGTAATACTTGTTGGAGACCTTGTCTGGAGTAGAAGTGAATCTGAAGATCGAAAAAAAAATGCATCCATGATGAATCAGAAGACTTGTAGAAGAGATATAAAAGATTCTGCGATATTTGCCTTATGGATGGTAGAACAGCCACTAAATAACTTACACTATCACACCTGTTACAGTTGGCTTCAGGGGATCATCTTCCTATATAAGTTAAGGAAATTTTCAGGTCAGTTTTTGGAGCATAAGAGAATAGGGTTATTCAATAGAATCAGGCAGGTCATAACTCACCTTGTAAAAGTCTACACATGTCTTGAGATCATACTCACACTCTCTACGTTCCAAGTACTGAGCATAAATAGAATGATCAACACAAAGGCATGAACATGATACATCATGCGACCTAGTTTTAAGATGCCAAAACATACCTCCATAGCCAGACGTTCTTTTTCTGGGCCTCCGCGGACACAGAATGCAGCACCCCACTGTCAAGAAAATATTAGATGATTAGAAAGAAAAGAAGAATGTATTAGTAATTAAGCAGGCCTCAAGAACAGATTATAAAATCCTTAAATCATATACACCTAAGAATTGCTACTTACGCATATGGCTTCTTCAGCTTTCTCGAGGGTGCACGTTCTTGCAGGGTGTTCTGGTGTACCTCTATGATCAATGCAAGCTACACAGGAGAATTAGTCAATCAATCAGTCAATCTTCAATAGTGGGAAGATGAGATAGATTAATCAAATAAGCAAGGGAACATAATTGTTAATCATGACAAAAGAATAGTACCAAGATCAAAGACACGTTTATATCCCTTGATGAAACCTAACACTTTCTCATCGTAGTGAAATCCTGGGTTCCACACAAGAGAGCCATATCCAAATACCCACATCACCATTTTCTGCAGTTAATGCTGCACAAGGACAAAATATAAGATTAAGACACAAAACATGATTATGTGGAGTGTAAAAGTGCCAGAGAAAAAGGACCAACAGTAAAGACAAGACAAGTGCTAAAAACACATGTGGAGTGAACAATCACAATGGACCAGTGTTCCAAGTGTTAGCCCCTCTTTAAACGTCAACAGATAAGCTCAGTTCTTGGTTCTCTTCAAGACAGCTCAGAAAAGATAAAAGACCCTATTTTTCATTTCTTTCAATATGAAAATCGAGGTAAATTTTCTAGGTCAACTTGAGAGTTTTCCATAGTAGTGGTGCAGGTGAAATCTTAAAAGACATGAATCATTGAACTTTTGGAACAAAGACAAAACCCAATTAACATGTGTTCCCAAAATCTAGAAAGAAGGGGAAAAAGGGATTGACTTTTTTTTTTGGCCTATCTAGATTTGGTGCAATAATCATATAATCAAAAGAGAACAGAACAGTAAGAACATTTCCTTGGATTTAAATAAACACAAACACCACAAAGAGAAACCGCTGAGAAGATGCAACAGAAGCTACCTAAACCAAATGGGGAAGAAGAATAAAAATCAAAACTTTACCCTGGAGCACGAACTTCGTGAAGAGAAAAATCAATCCCACAGTGAGACAAGATCTCCTCTCTTAATTAGGTAATCCGAGAAACGCGTGGGAGGAGGAGAGATTACAGAGAAAAGGTTGAAGGGACGACGTCGTATTCGGTTTCGTACGGAGCTGGTAATGGTAATGAGACCACTCTCTCAGCTCCTCTCTCCTTCCTTCCTTCTCTCCCTCTCTCTCTCTGAACCTCTTTCTCGAGATGTTGTTATTTTAATGAGGAGGAGGCGATGTGTGGGGAGAAGAGCATTTATAGAAAGAGAGAGATGGAGACCGAACCGAGAGTTCATGCCACGCATGTTTTTTTTTAGTTCTTCAGAATTTTTGTCTGTTGTGTTTTCCATTCGTCACGTGACTTGGCCGGTGAAGACGCTTGTTTCTGGCCTTTCCCAACAAAAAAGAAAAATATCTTTGTTCTCAAAATATGGAATCTAATCTGTACATTGAATGATTTTTTTTTATATAATGGAGACTCATATTATCCAAAGTCAAAAGTTATTTTCCTATACAACTGATACAATTAACAGTTTGAAGACAAATACACTGTAGTTTTTTCTTTTCCTAAGCCGATTTTAGCAGTTTGTAGAAGCTTTATCGTTGAGGGAAACAAAGACATACACGCAATTAAATAAATAAAAAACACAATGAGTTAACATGTATTTGTTACACAAAGGCATATACATACATGCATTGACATTACCAACCTCACTGATACATAAAACAAATAATATGTTGAGGCTTATAGCTTAACCTAAGACAGACTCGTTTATTAAATATGTAGTAATCTTCATGACTGATTGCTTGGTCGCAAACTACACCATAAGACGTATAACCATAACATATTCCGAAAAGGCAAAAATAAAAAATCTGCTTCACAAGAAATTGTCAAATTGAGACTTAAGAGTTTAGAGTGCTTCATATGATGAAAAGTATAGGCTATGCATACAATACATAACAACTTCACTTCTTTAAACATGTATCCATCCAATGAATCTAAACGTTTGGTAGGTAACTGGAGTAAGCAATTTTGGGGTCGGCACTTACACGCGTAAGCTATTGAAACACCCCACCACATAACACACATCATATTCCTTTCTTTATCTTCTCTGTTTCTGAGAAGAGAAATGACTAAGTATTGTCGAACCTGATCATATTCCACACCCATCATATTCCAAACCCAAGAAATGACTAACACACACATCATATTCCACACCCAAGAATCTCCTGAAAACCTGATCAACCATGTCGAACTGTCTTGCTATCCTCAAACGGCTACGTCTTGGCAACGGGAACTTCTCATCCCCGTCGTTGTAATGCCGAAGAATGTTCTCCTGGTACTCTATCCCATCTCTTATACACGAAGCTTTATATCTGTATTTGCTTCATTCTTTGCTCAATTTGTTTGATCTTTTTCACTGCAATTGCTGAAGGATTTGGCGGGATGGAAACAAGTGAATTGATCTTAGGTTCTTCACTGCAGTCTCAGTGGTATCCGTCTGTGGCGGAATATAAACAATTACAATTGATTTCGGTTTGGTTTACATGGTTTTGAAATTGCATTTGATTTCGGTTTGGTTTAAACTGGAATTAATAAGGTTTTGAGTAAAAGTCACACGCGACGGTTTTTTAGAAAGAAGCGAGTTTGTTTCACCATAAGCGATTTTGGGGGTTATAGCACACAGGAATCATAGACACTCGCGCAACGCGCGTTTGGTGAGAGTGGGTGAGAAATAGAGCGCTCTGATTGGCTAAAAAAATGAAATAGTAGTGGTATAGCTCCTTGCTTCCTCCTCTATTATTATTACTTCTCTCATTTGAGTGACGACTTCTCTGCTGAAAAAAACTTTTGTGACAATGTGAAGATATGGAAACTTCTGTAGAATTCTCAAAATAAGATCTTGAGATGATTAGCAAAATGTTTTATTATGCCTCTTCTTCTTATAGACAAAAAAAAATTAATATATATATTCCAGCTGAGAATGAAATTAAGATTTTGTAAAGCTATTCAAAAAACTTATATTAGGTAGACCATAACAGTGTTTCTGAAGTGCATATGATGGTACTAACCTCTGAACTCCTGAGGATTCTTACATAATGCTCTTGTAGATTGAAGAAAGAACAAAGGATAGTGAAAACACAAGAGTTGGATTTGTTTATGGAGATTCTTTGTAAGCCATTGCCTGCTGCTTTCAGAGTTAATTCCAAGTATGTATGCTTAGTTTATTTGCATTCTTAAATCAGCATACAGTTTAGAAGGACACTGTTCTGTTATTAATACAAGGATTAGGCTCCAGTACACCTAGTAGAAGAACCAGACTCACGCCAATATTAGGTTCAAGATTACTGACTTGTGGGCATATGATCCTCTTTTAGTAGATGGTGATCTTCTACCATATTGGCGTGAGTCTAAAACCAACTGATGATGAAATGACCAATATAAGGAGACTTGGCAGACCACTCCCTTGTCATTTTGCTTTAGGTCAACTTCTTTTCTCCTGCATTTATCTGAATTCTTTGTTATGGAAGATTTTTGACTTATTCTGGCTTACCTTCTTTGAGACTTCCAAGTAACAATAGAAATTTGCAGTGTGAGGTTGCCAAGATAGAAGTGAAGAGAGAAATGCAGATCACTAATAGCGAGCTGGTGGCTAAATAGACTTAAAGGTTGCTGGTTTACTTCTAATGATCTAGAACGTTATGTCAATCTCTATAAGAAATAGAAACTTCTTCATAACTAGATATAATAGTATGTATTGATTACTAACAAAAACTCAATACTATTTATTGGGACTTTAAGGCCCTTCATATGATGAAAAGTATAGAATATGCATACCATACATAACAACTTCACTTCTTTAAAACATGTATCCGACAAATCTAAACGTTAATTGGAGTCAGCAATATTTAGGGTTGGTACTTACACGGTAGGCTAGTGAAAAACTCCACCACACAACATCTTGATCTGAGAAAATGGTGGGAACAATTCCACCTCGGAAAGACTGGTTATATTGAGAAAGATATATGTTGGTCAGACTAAGGTTTACTCTATCTATCGAGGTTTGCACCTCTGACATTATCCATCTATATGTCTACTAATTTATAGGTTATATAGGTAAGTTTTAGACTTTTAGTACATGTGGTAGGGAAGCAGTAAGACTCATTCGAAACTGATAGAGTTTAGTTGGATTATATAATATATATAGCCATATAGGTTTTCAGCTAAGAGAAAGAGTTTGAAACTTGACTTAGGAAACGGTTGTAATGTTTCTGTGAGAATGTAGTAGATTTAGGAGTCTTTAACCAGTTGGCTTGTTTTGTGAGCCTCTTGGATTTGGGAGAGTTAGGATATCTTGTCAACAAACAAAAATCCAAGATACACATTTGGCTCTTTCTTTGAGTTTGATCTTAAGTTCTTCACTGCAAGTCTGCCATTACCAATATGTCATTCTCAGTGGTATTATTTGTGGCCCAATATAGAACAATTACAATTGATTTCGGTTCGGTTACATGGTTTTGAAACTACAGTTGATTTCGGTTCGGTTTAAATTGGAATTAATAAGGTTTTGAGGAAAAGTCACACGCGACGGGTTTTTAGAAAAAAGCGAGTCTGATGCAACACAAGCGATTTTGTGGGTGCATACAGAAAACGCAGACACTCGCGCAACGCGCGTTTGGTGAGAGTGGGCATGAAATAGAGCGCTCTGATTGGCTAAAAAAAATGAAATAGTAGTGGTATAGCTCCTTCCTTCCTCCTCTATTATTATTGTTACTTTTCTTCTTCTCTCGTTTGAGTGAAGATTTCTCTGCTAAAACAAATTTCTGTGACAATGTGAAGGTATGCAAACTTCTGTAGAATTCTCAAACTAAGGTCGTGAAATGATTAGCAAAATCTTTTATTATGCTTCTTCTTCTTATAGACAATTTTTTCATATTTATATATCCCAGCTTAGATGAGAATGATATTAAGATTTTGTAGGATAGTTACATTAGGTAGGCCATAACAGTGTTTGAAGTGTATATGATGATAGTTACCTCTGAACTCGCGAGGATTCTTACATAATGCTCTTACACATTGAAGAAGGAACACCATAATGGGAAAGAGGGAGGCTGCAAAGGACAATTCCAAAAAGTATCAAGCTGTTTACTTCTAGAACGTTTATGTCAATCTCAATAAAAATGGAAACGTCTCAGAACTAGATATAACAGTATGTGTTGATTATTATCAAAAACTCAATACTACTGATTGGGACTTTAAGGCCCGGTCATATGATGAAAAGTAAAGAATATGCATACAATACATAAGTTCATAACAACTTCACTTCTTTAAGAAACATCACTCAGCTGGAACTTTATTGCTGGTTAATCCGTTGCTTGATTTGGAAAAGAGTTTCTAGATCATTTCGAGCATCCTTGACCTCTTGAAGTTGATGGAGACTTATTATCCACACCGCACTTTGTCTGCTCTTGATTGTTATGAATTTCCTCTGTTTCACCATTTTTGTTGTTTTCCTCTTTGGCTGACTCTGTTTTTGAAGTAATATCCTTTGTTTCTTTCTTATCAGAATATAAATTGTCATTTGCATCACCGGATTCACTTTTACTTTCAACAGTTTTTTTTGTTCTGTCACTCTTCTCCTGTGTGTTTGAAGAATCAGTAGATTCCACCTGTTCAATTTTCTGAACATTCATCTGTGGATTTCCCCACTCGACTCCCCCAATGCAACTGAACTGAGACTGAAGTTTGGGCTGAAGTCAAATAAAAGCGTTTGGGCCTTTTTCGGCCTGTTTACAAGATATATAACATGATAGCATTTGCCTCGGCCTCACTTATTAATTCAGATATCGCTCACTCGTCGTCTTCTACTGGCGTCGACGTGTCAGTTTCCGGCGATCTGGTAATTGCTCAAATCATCTCTCTCTAATGAAAATTTTCTGATGCTCAAATCAAGTTCTATTCTTTCGTCTGTTTGGAACATCCCCGTATGCATCTGGATTCTTGTTCGAATTTCATTTTAGATTTGTGTGGTACCGTGTTTTTTTTTTTTCAATGGTGAAAAATTCTAGCTGCATTTTCAGGGTATGTGTTTAGTTCCTGAATTTGAATATAGTTACCCATTTTTTTTCTTTTTAAGTTTTCCATTTTTGGGTTCATACACATACGATACTTTGGAATTGAAACAGCACAAAATCATAATTGTAAAAGAACATGAACAATCTCTTTGTTTATTTTTTAGTTCCGATCTAGTATGCAAGCTACGAACATGCATATGCAACTCACTGCTATATAAATATTTTTGGTTTGTACAATTTGACAAGAGTGTTTTATGTTTCAAATCACAATTTTGTTTGTAGTTAATGTGTAAGTTGATGATTATATTTACAAGGTTAATCAACCACCCTTTTCAGATGGATGAAGGAAGTTCGGGTTCACGGAGATTGCGGTCTCAAGTTGCTCCGGACTGGACAGTCAAAGACTGTCTGATACTGGTTAATGAGATTGCTGCTGTTGAAGCGGATTGTTCCAATGCTTTATCCAGCTTCCAGAAATGGACAATGATCTCAGAGAACTGTAACATTTTGGATGTACGTAGAACTCTTAACCAATGCAGGAGGAAATGGGATTCATTGTTGTCTGATTACAATCAGATCAAGAAGTGGGAATCTCGGTACGCTGGTAGTGCTCGTTCGTATTGGTCCCTGAGTACTGAGAAGCGGAAGTTGCTGAATCTTCCGGGGAATGTCGATAACGAGCTTTTTGAATCAATCAATGCGGTTGTGATGATCCAAGATGACAAAGCTGGGACTGAATCTGATAGTGACCCGGAAGCGCAAGACCTTGTTGATGTCACTGCTGAATTGGGTACATTACACTATACTTCTCTGGTCTTTGTACAAATCTTAAGATAGCACATAGACAGACTTCTTCTGTGTTCTAATAATATACAGAATGATGAAGTTACCTGGATCAGTATCACGGACACTCTTGCTAACTCCTATAATCACTTTGGCTCACTTTGGCTGTGAAACGCAGATTTTGTAGGGTCAAAAAGATCAAGACATCGAACAACAGTTACAAAGGAGATCCCGCAACAGAAGACAAAGAGAAAAGAGCCACAGACATACAGAGTTCAGGAAAACACTCAACAGAAACCTACAAAAGCAACCCATCAGAACATAAACATGGAGGAGAAGAAGAAGGCAGTGGAAGAAATATCCACAGATGAAGAAGAGGAGGAAACGATGAACATAGAAGAGGATGTAGAAGTGATGGAAGCGAAGCTTAGTTATAAAATTGACTTGATACACGCGATAGCTGGGAGGAATCTAGCAAAGGACAATGATACAGGGGATGATATTAGTATCAACGACAAGTTGAAGTACGGGAGACAGCAAGGAGATGAGCTTATCAGTTGTCTGAGTGAAATTGTTAATACCCTTAGTAGGCTCCGTGAAGTTTAATGTGAGTGATTATCTAGGTCATGAATAACTTTCAGCTGTAAATGTTTAGGCATTTGCCTCTTTGGAGCTGATCTAATCGTAATGCAATATTGTAGACTAGTGAATGGAAAATATGATGATGTTATAATTTGGCAGGAATTGAAGTAAACAAAAAACAAATCGACTTCACTGGGGATCGAACCCAGAATCTCTGGTTTCGTAGACCAGCGCCTTATCCATTGGGCCATGAAGTCTTGTTGTGCTTAAGAAGTTGAAACGATTTATCTATAGGATTTTTGGAAATAGTTTCTAAAACAAATAAACCAAAAGAAAATTGGATGAATTTTTGAAGCCATGCATATATATCCAAATTTTTTAGATTATGTATTGAGTATATCTAAAAGAAAATACATGAGAGTACACTATTTTGGATTGAATATATATTTTAGTCTAATAGAAAATATAAACTAGTGAGATAAGCTCAATAAACAATGTGGAATGGCAATGTATTTGAATATCATAGTCATACTAAATATAAAAAGACAATTAAAATCTGTACAGTATAATTCATATGTCTTTGACATCACTTTGATGCCATTTTATTAAAACATCTATAACAAAGACCCAAAAAAAAGAGAGTTAAATCTAAGAATTTGTTAGAATTTAAGATTTAGATTTATAATCTAGCTAGTACAAAGGTCAAATAGACAGACATATAAGAAACACACGTAAGCAAGTTAGATAATACAAAAATTATATATATGAGTGTAACACCATGGAAAAGCTTAATTACACAGACGTACTTGGTTCCACGTTGTTGGCGAAAACGATTGTGCGCCTTGACCTTTGCTGTCATTTCACCATCAGCCGTCCTTTCATACTTCTTCCGGCAAAAACTCATCTCCTTTGAACAATCCATAATAATACATTTCCCGACATATAAATCCTAACTCTTGTTCTCAAACCCCAAAATTGCGATATTTTCACCGATATGAGCCGTGATGAGAAGTTCCCGATCGTATACTCTGTGTTATTAATCGCCTTCTACTGCTTCGTGGGTACTATATCCGCTGACGGTGACGCTGATGCTCTTTTAAAGTTCAAGTCATCTCTCGCTAACGCCACAGCACTCGGGGGATGGGACTCAGGCGAACCTCCTTGCTCCGGAGAAAAAGGAAGCAACTCTAAATGGAAAGGTGTGATGTGTTCAAACGGCTCCGTTTTCGCTATCCGTCTTGAGAACATGAGCCTCTCCGGGGAGCTCGACGTACAAGCTCTCGCGTCGATGGGCGGTCTCAAGAGCGTCAGCTTTATGCGTAACTACTTCGAAGGGGATATGCCACGTGGCCTTAATGGACTTGTCTCGCTGGTGCATCTTTACCTTGCGCATAACCGATTTTCCGGTGAGATAGACGGTGATTTGTTCGCCGGGATGAAGGCTTTGGTGAAGGTTCATCTTGAAGGAAACCGGTTTTCCGGTGAGATTCCAAAGTCGTTGGCGAAATTGCCGAAGCTTACTGAGCTGAATCTTGAGGACAACTTGTTCACCGGGAAGTTACCGACGTTTAAACAGAAGAATCTCGTTACCGTTAACGTGGCTAATAACCGATTAGAAGGTCGAATCCCATTTACTCTCGGCCTCATGAACCCTGCATTCTTCTCAGGTGAATCATCATCGATCTTTCACATTTAATTAAGTCTCTTTACCCATATGTTTTGATATAGTCGATCGTTTTTTAAAGCTTAATTAAGTTAGGAATGAACTTTATCTAATTTTCACGATCCATGGAAAATTTCGTATGAACTTTATCTAATTAAGTTAGGAATGAACTTGATCTAACTTTTATATATGGAGGAGTCTTTTGTGAGTTAGTGAATTTATTTCTTCTTTTGACGTCCTTGCAACATCATGATATATTTTTTTGGGATCAAATTGACAAAATATTTCTGAATAATACACTCTTTGACTTAAATTATTAGCGGGCCTATGGAGAAATGGGCTATGTAAGATGTTAATATTCTAAAAGTTGTTTGGGCCTAAAACAGGAAACAAGGGGCTGTGTGGAGCGCCTTTGCTTCCGTGCAGATACACTCGTCCGCCCTTCTTCACCGTGTTTCTCCTTGCCCTCACCGTCCTCGCCGTCATTGTCCTCATTACTGTCTTCCTCTCCGTTTGCATCCTCGGCCGCCGTCAAGGCAAAGGCCAAGACCAAAGCCACGGCCACGTTCACGCCCCAGTCTACGGACAAACCGAGCAACAATACAGTGAGAAGAGCTCGCAGGACTCCAAAGTCTACAGAAAGCTAGCTAACGAATCTGTGCAGCGAGATTCAACAGCAACATCAGGAGCATTATCAGTGGGAGCTCAGTCCCCGGAAGAAGACAAGCGAGGGGATCAACGGAAGCTACATTTCGTCCGGAATGATCAAGAGAGGTTCACGCTCCAGGATATGCTCCGTGCGTCGGCGGAGGTTCTCGGAAGCGGCGGATTCGGATCGTCTTACAAGGCGGCTTTATCGAGTGGGCGTGCGGTGGTTGTGAAGCGGTTTAGGTTTATGAGCAATGTCGGCAGAGAAGAGTTTTACGATCATATGAAGAAGATTGGAAGATTGTCTCACCCTAATCTTCTTCCACTGGTAGCTTTCTATTACAGAAAAGAAGAGAAGCTTCTCGTTACCAATTACATTTCCAATGGAAGCCTCGCAAATCTCCTCCATGGTAAAATCAAAACTCTCCTTCCAAGTGTTTGTTTTGTTCATCTTCATCTGATGAGATGAGTTTTGTTTGATTGATGTTGCAGCTAATCGAACACCAGGTCAAGTGGTTTTGGATTGGCCGATACGATTCAAGATTGTAAGAGGAGTTACAAGAGGTTTGGCTTATCTCTACAGAGTGTTCTCTGATCTAAATCTTCCTCATGGTCATCTCAAGTCTTCCAATGTGTTGCTTGACCACAACTTCGAGCCGCTCTTAACGGATTACGCACTTGTGCCGGTGGTGAACAGAGATCAATCACAGCAGTTCATGGTGGCTTACAAGGCACCAGAGTTCACTCAGCAGGACCGGACCTCGAGAAGATCAGATGTGTGGAGCCTGGGAATCTTGATTCTTGAGATTCTGACAGGGAAGTTTCCGGCTAATTATCTCCGGCAAGGGAAAGGAGCTGATGACGAGTTAGCAGCATGGGTTGAGTCTGTAGCGAGGACGGAGTGGACTGCTGATGTGTTTGATAAGGAGATGAAAGCAGGGAAAGAACACGAAGCACAAATGTTGAAGCTGCTCAAGATTGGGTTGAGATGTTGTGATTGGGACATTGAGAAGAGAATTGAGCTTCACGAGGCTGTTGATCGAATAGAAGAGGTTGGGGAGGTTGATAGAGAAGCAGGTGGAGGTCAAGAGAGTGTTCGATCTTCATACGTGACTGCTAGTGAGGGGGATCATCGTTCTTCGAGAGCTATGACTGGGGAGTTCTCGCTCATGTAATAGCTTCATCTGAAAAGGCTTGTATTATCTATCTCTCTCTGGTCTCCACACTAGTCTTCTTCTTCATCTAATTCTTCGTTTCCTTGATATTTGTTGAGCAAGTATGTATTTGTCTTTGTTTGTAGGTAAATGACAATTACCCTTTATTTTATTGTCAGGGTTATTCGCACTCAATTCTTTTTTTCCTAGTTTTATCAGATATGATTGATGAGTTAAGCTTCAAGCTTTTGTTCTTTTGTTGATTTTTTTCACCTTTCAGCTTTTTCTCTCCCCCCTTTTTGCGAATATTATATTCGTGCCATGTTTTGTTATCATTCAGACGCAAATGATGTCTTTTATGTCCATTTCTTCTTCAACTTGTCCACTTTCTGATGCAGTGTTGAGATAAGCAAGAATAAAAATTAATGGTTTTCACAAGCTTATTGCTTTAGATATTGGGTAACCTTGTAGATGGTATATTCTCTAAGGATATTTTGATTTACTTTTTTACATGTTCGTTTGATAGAGACCTTAATAAACTTAATATCTTTTTCTTCTTCTTCTATATCTTTCCTTGTCCCCATGTGATTTTTCTTTATCCCCTTTTCTTGGAATTTACAAGCTTAAGCATCTACGGAGAGGAAAAAACCTGTGTGGAAATCTTGTTACAATCCACTCTGTATTGAAATTATCTTCTTTGTAGTTTTCCTCGTATCAAAGGACAAAGGTTATTCCACCATCTCTCTGGTATCTGGTATGTTGAGTTTCGTTTGTTGCTTTTTTTGGAACAGGTGGTCTGATACAGTTCATAGTCTGTAAAACCTTTTATAAAGAGTCTATGTTTTAGTTTTTGTTTTCAGTTGCAAGTTCCCTCCAAGTTTTGTTCTGGGTTTTTAATGTTTTAAAACTCGTTTTGATAAAACTGTATGTTTGATCATCTTATATTTCCATGAAGATGGACATTAGGGTTTTGTAATCCAGAAAACAATAACTCAGGTTTAACTGTAGAGCATAGTGGTGTTGAAGTTTGGATGGCAGTATCAGCTGATTACCAAGTTAACTTTCCTGAAAGTGGTGATCTTTACTCTATACTAGCAGCTGAAGGGATTGAGTTCCTTTTGTCGCATAGTGGAGAGGTACCGCTTATGCTCCTCTCAGTATATTTATATATATCCGTCTGTTCCGTCATACTAAACTATAAGATCATTTCGATCAGGTGCCGTTGGAATATATCGACGGGAAGACGATTTGTCTCTTCTTCTCTGCAAACTGGTGCAGGCCTTGCAAGGACTTCACTCCAGAGCTGGTAAAACTCTATGAAAATCTTCAGAACCGAGGAGAAGAACTCGAGATCATCTTTGTCTCATTTGATCATGATATGACTTTATTCTATGAACACTTCTGGTGCATGCCATGGCTTGCAGTTCCCTTCAATTTAAGCCTACTCAACAAATTAAGGGACAAGTACAGAATATCTCGTATACCGTCACTGGTTCCTCTGTATTCAGATGATGTCTCGGTTGCTGAAGATGTAATTGGTCTAGTAGAAGACTATGGTCCTGAGGCATTTCCTTTCACTAAAAAGAGATTAGAAGAACTCAAAGCCATCGATGAGTCCAAACGCGTTGGAGGACAGTTGGAAAAACTCCTAACACACGAGTCCCGAAATTATGTTGTTTCCAGAAATGGAAGTAAGGTAAGAAAATCTGACTTGTAGACTTCAAATATCTGGTCTAATCAAATGATCCAATATGATAATGTCTTTATGCAGGTACCAGTTTCTAAACTTGTGGGAAAGACAATAGGGTTGTACTTTGGTGCACACTGGTGTCCGCCTTTTAGGTCTTTCACTTCTCAGCTCATAGATGTGTACAATGAGCTTGCAACCACAGAAAAAGGTTCCTTTGAAGTCATCTTAGTGTCAACAGACAGAGACTCGAGAGAATTTAACATCAACATGACCAACATGCCATGGCTTGCAATACCTTATGAGGACAGAACAAGACAAGATCTTTGTAGAATCTTCAACATCAAACTCATACCTGCACTGGTCATCATAGGACCGGAAGAGAAAACAGTGACCACAAACGCGAGAGAGATGGTATCGTTGTATGGATCCAGGAGTTTTCCGTTCACGGAATCAAGGATTGTTGAGTTAAAAGCTTGTTTGAAGAAAGAAGGTGATTCGTTTCCAAGGAAAGTGAAGGATAAGAAGCATGAACATGAGCTAAAGCTGGACATGGCGAAAGCGTATGTTTGTGATTTCTGTAAGAAGCAAGGTAGGTTTTGGGCCTTTTCTTGCTATGCTTGCGATTATGATCTTCATCCTACATGCGTGGAAGAACAAGAAGCATTGTTGGTTTAGCAAAAGAGATAGTCGTCGTGATTTGTCTGAATGATTTTGATAATTAGTAAACAAAGATAATATGATATGTTCTGCAAGTCAGTGGACCTACCTACTATATTCTTCATTTTTTTTTCTGTCGTCAAAACAGAGTTGGGAATTATTAGGATCAAGATTGTAATACTGACAAAATAAAGTATATTCTATATTAGTTTTAGTTTGCATGTAATGTAACTTTTAGTAAAATCTTCTAGATTTGTTGCGTGCAAAGGAAAGAAGCTATATGTGGGTAAAATACATAGCACACAATTGAGGGGAAATGTGAGTAAAGAGAGGCGGGAAAGAAGGAGAGGCACTCAAAACAGAGAGAGAGAGAGAAACAGAGTCAATGGCTTTTTTTTATAGAAACCTCTCTCTCTCTCATCTTCATTTCCTGTTTTCCTTCCTATCAATATTACAGACTAAGAACAATCAAACGGATCTTCTTCGGAAGGAAAGGAGACACACCCAAGAACTTAAAAAGACAACAGACGATATATATTTGTCCATTGAAGCTCATAACATCTCTCTGCATAGTGCGTAGTGCTATTCGATTAGGATGGCAAAGAACAGGAGGGACAGAGACGGAGGATTTGGCACGGATGGATTAGTTGCCGTGGCGATAGACCGAGACAAAAACAGCCAAACTGCTCTGAAATGGGCTGTTGATAATTTGTTGCAGAAAGGCCAAACCGTCGTCCTCGTCCATGTCAAGCCTCGGGGTTCTTCTTTATCTTCAAACCCTTCTATCAACTCAAACTCTTCTAGTATAAACCTTTTCTCCTACTTCTTCTCTGTTTCTAGTTCCTTGTGCTTCTCTTTTATGTGTCTTCTTTCCTTTCTCGGTAGCTGATGAGTTTATCTATTACAGAAGTGAGCCAAATAAACGGTGATTCTTCATTGGTCTGTGGAGACCCAGAAGGCTCTTATAAACAGTTGTTCCTTCCCTTTCGTTGCCTATGTTCACGTAAAGATGTGAGTCTCCAACCTTACGTAATATCAGCCAGAAAACAAATTTACCTCTCACATCTGCTCTGTCTCTTATTATGTGCTTTCTTGAAATTGTTTTTTTTTTTTTCAGATACAGTGCAAAGATGTATTATTGGAGGAGTCAGATGTGGCAAAAGCTTTAGTCGAATATGCAAACCAGGTCGTCATTGAGGTATTGGTGGTTGGTTCCTCCTCAAAAGGTGGCTTTCTCAGGTGTGTTTTATATCTTTTCTCTTTGCTGTGAAATCTTTTAACCAGAAATGTAAAAATATTGGGTGTTAATTATGACTCTGCAGGTTCAACAAACCTACAGATATTCCAGGAACCATCACGAAGAGCGCACCTGATTTTTGCACGGTTTATGTCATAACAAAAGGAAAGCTTTCAACAAAGAAAACAGCTTCTCGTGCTGCACCTTCTGTTTCTCCATTACGCATCCAGCTTCAACAGACTAGCTTAAAGCCACATCCTCCGTTGCCTTCTCCTGCAACTACTAACACAAGAGGTTACAAAACAAAAAAATGCTTAGAAGTGTTTCTTTCACATGTCGATTTATTAATATATTTTGGTTTCCTGTAGCTGAGAGACAGTCATTCGAGTCTCAGCATCGCAGGTCCGTTGACGATCAACCAGATTCCTTCAGGTGCACATCAATCTTGTTTTTCATTTGACACGCTCAGGGATATCATGACCATAGACTTTAGACGATGAAAGTTCTTGGTTGAAACAGGTCTCCCTACAATAGACGAGGCTTGACTGGGAGATCATATGGAGACCTATCAATCCCGGATTCTGACATATCCTTCAACAGCTCTGGAAGACCAAGCATTGAGCGCAGCTCTCTTTCCTTGTATGACAATCAGGATCCAAACCGCACTCCTCCAAGGCTATCAAATTTCTCAGACGTTGACTATGGTAGCTTTGAGTCAATGACCTTCGGACGGAGGTCAATGGATATAAGCTCACCAACTGCTTTCTCAACAGGCTCATTTGAGAATGAAAGGTTTTCATCGGCTTCACAAGGAATGGTAAGACTGTTCTGTGAATCTCTTTTCGGGTTATAAACTAGGAACTGCTAGATGCAAGAGGTTTTATGGCTGAGATTTGTAACCAGGATGATGTAGAGGCTGAGATGAGGAGGCTTAAACTGGAGCTGAAACAAACAATGGAAATGTACAGTACAGCTTGCAAGGAAGCTCTCACAGCAAAACATAAGGTCTAATAATTTGAGTAGTGTTGCTTCATTTTTGTTTCTCAGTTCCTAAAATACGGATTCAAAAGCGAATTGTTGAACCTGCAGGCAACAGAGCTTCAACGCTGGAAGTTAGAAGAAGAACGGAAATTCGAAGAGGCAAAGATTGCAGAGGAAGCTGCATTAGCCATTGCCGAGAAGGAGAAAGCAAAGTCCAAAGCAGCAATGGAAGCTGCTGAAGCAGCTCAAAGGATTGCTGAGATAGAGTCCAAAAAGAGAGTCAATGCAGAAATGAAAGCTCTTAAGGAATCGGAGGCGAGAACGAAAGCCGTGAATGCTTTAGCAAACTCAGAAGTCCGATACAGAAAGTACTCCATCGAGGAGATTGAGGATGCAACAGAGTTCTTTGATGAGAAATACAAGATCGGAGAAGGCAGTTATGGACCTGTCTACAAGTGTTATCTGGATCACACACCTGTGGCTGTGAAAGCTCTGCGCCCAGATGCAGCTCAAGGCAGGTCACAGTTTCAGCAAGAGGTAAAGTCTCGTAACAAAGTCTCTGAAAACCTTTAAACCCCTAAGGCTCATTCCTGGCATCAGACTTTAATCAAGTGCTGTTTATCAATTAAACACAGGTTGAAGTGTTAAGCAGCATGAGGCACCCTAACATGGTTCTTCTACTTGGAGCATGCCCAGAATGTGGATGCTTAGTGTATGAGTTCATGGCTAATGGGAGCTTAGAAGACCGTCTTTTCAGACAAGGAGACAGTCCGCCCCTCTCTTGGCAAACAAGATTCAGAATTGCTGCAGAGATCGGCACTGTACTGTTGTTCCTCCACCAAACTAAACCAGAACCACTGGTTCACCGTGATCTCAAACCAGCAAATATCTTACTAGACCGCAACTTTGTCAGTAAGGTTGCTGATGTTGGCTTGGCTAGGCTGGTCCCTCCATCCGTTGCAAACACCGTGACACAATACCGCATGACATCAACTGCTGGCACGTTTTGCTATATCGACCCAGAGTACCAGCAGACGGGTATGCTGGGTGTGAAATCTGACATCTATTCGCTAGGGATTATGTTTCTGCAGTTAATAACAGCAAAACCACCTATGGGTCTAACTCATTATGTCGAAAGAGCCCTCGAGAAGGGGAATTTGAAAGATTTGCTCGATCCTGCTGTGTCTGATTGGCCTGTTGAAGACACCACAGAGTTTGCCAAGTTGGCTCTCAAGTGCGCAGAGATAAGGCGAAAAGACAGACCTGATCTTTCCAAAGTTATCTTGCCAGAGCTCAACAGATTAAGAGTACTTGCTGAAGAATCAACCCAGTCTGCAGTAGTCATTAACAGCCCTGGACCATCCCCCACCGTTAGTCAAACTTCTTCCCCCAAGTTGTGAGAACTGATAAACCAATACTAGGATATGTATTCCAGACTCTAATTCATTTCTCAACTCGCCTTCTTCTCCAATATCACTTTGCAGGAATAGATGAATGGTGTTTCTGTCGCCAGGCCTCGGTGACCTCTCCCAAGTCTCAAATTTTGTTCTGATTGACAAACTGATCTGCACATAGAATGAGACAAAGAGGATTCAATTGCAATCAGTGATCCATGTTCCACCTGAAGTTACATCTAACATTAAAACTTAAAAGGTATACATGCTAATGAAACGCGCAACTGAATATGTCTGCTCACTGTATAATACAGTAGTGTCTTTCCCTTGTAGAACTTGTTCAGATTGTACAGATGATTATAGTTAACTTACCATCTAGCTCAGGATTGGGGAAATTCCATGATGAAACCTTTTTTTTTCCTGCAACTTCTCTAACATAAGCCAATTCAAAACTGATGCAGTCCCTCTGAACATAAAATACCACACATAAAACGAATGGATACTTTTATATCATTCCCTTAAAAATGTGCAATGATTTTACAACAATGTCCAATCTTTTCTGTTACGATTATTACTCTGATTACCAAAAAAGAATAATAATAGGCTTCGTCAAAGCTAATGCTCTTCTCTATCCATGTCATATCACGAACCAATTGTTTACGTAGTGGATTCCACAACTTCTTCATCTTCTTTCTCTTTCTTAGGTGGTCTGCCAGAGCGTCTCACATTTTTGCCATCCAAGAGCTTCAGTGCTTTCTCTAAAGTAACCTCACCTGGTTCCGTGTTCTGCGAATTACCAAGTTACCCTCAACGCTATAACTCATTCAATAACACAGAAAACAATAGATCCTAGCATATAGTGGATGCAGATCCACACCTTATTTCCGTATCAAATATAGCACCAACATCTCTTAATAAATAATCATCTTCTTCCACCTATATCGTATTCTAAATAGGTATCCTACAACAGTACATAACTATACCTTTGGAACAGTAGCCATAGTGCGGCGATGTTTGATAGTAAATCCAGATTTACTAAGCTTCATCTGCACAGGCTGTCCATCTTTAGGGTGGGTTCCCTGGTCAGAAATCACATACCAAGTCGTCAGCACTCCAAAATGTTGAAACAGCCCACCCAGAAATACAATAACTGTAACCTTTATATCAGTCTTACCAGTGTCAGAGGATAGCGTAATAATTCAAGAGCACTTTCAAGCGTAATGGAGTTCAAATCCTTAATCTGAAAATAAGGTTGCAGGAGCTATCTCAGTTAAAAAGGGTAAGCATTACATTACCAGGACATTAATGGCACACAAATGCGCACTAGATGTATGATCAGTGTGCCCCCATTTATATAAGAAGAGAAGCATATATCTATATATATCAATTGATAAACACTCCAACATACATGGGATGCATTTGCTCGTTTTGGTAAGTGGCCTTTTTTATCTTCACCGAGCTGTATATAATGCCCATAGGGACCACACTTTAAAATAACCTGAACAAGGAAATGGATTCAGAAAACAAAATTTATAAGAAAAATTGTCAACAGGAAAGAGTCAGAACAGC